GCCTTGTTTAATTGCTTGCATAGCTAATAGTATTCTATCCTCTTGATTAGAGGATTTGGCTTGTGTTGGTCGTGGCATTGTTAACTATAGTCACATTGACGCGTTTTGGTGTTTTGGTGGGCCACTCGTTCGGGTGGGCCACTCGTACGGGAAATACGTTAGAAATTAAAGCAAAGTTTAGTTAGAAGTATAACTATAAACATGTAAAATTTAAAGATCTAAAGATAATTTAAGAATAGTTCTCTCTTATATAAAATATAGTTATAAAATATAGAATCTTAGAGTAAGATATCTATAACTTTAATAAAGTAGGTTTTATAATAGGAGTTATTACTACTATAAAGGTAGCTATAAGCTTAGAAGTAAAGAGCTGTCTAAAGACTATATAGCTAAGGAATAGAGAGTAGGTATTAATTATCTAAGGTGTTAATTTATATAGATAGGCACTCCTACTATTTATTATTTTTAAGGTATAGAATTACCTCTCTACTTAGTATAAGGACTTAGGATTACTAGATAATTAAGTAATTACATTAAGTAAGAATAGGTAGACTTTAAATTTAATTAAGTATAAGTAGATTTAACACTTTAATTAATATATAAGTACTTATATAATTAGAACTTATTACCTTCTTATTCTTAATAGGTATAAGAGTTACCTCTTTACTTAATTTTAATACTACTATATAGAATAGAAGATAATTACCCTCTATATACTACTATACTCCTTATATATTCTTTAACTACTTAACGTTAGCTACTTTACTCTACTAAAGCTTTTATATAGACGTTAGATTAAAACCTTTATATAGAATAGGCTAAACTATATTATAAAACTTAAGTTTCTCTCTATATTTAAAGAAGCATTTAAAGCTACATTTATAGAGTAAACATTAAGAGTAGCTTTTAAGCTATAAGGCTAGTTTTATATAAGCTATAAAGTGTCCTCTCTTACTTAAATCTATAGTTAAGGACTCTAACTCCTCTTATAGTTAAGAGTAACAATTAGACTTTAAAGACTCTCTAAACTATAAGGGAGCTTAATTTTTAAATAGAGTATATTAAGAACTATATTATATAACATTAGAATAGCTCTCTTACCTTAATTAATAATGCTATTAGCTGCCTTATTAAAGGAGCTTAAGTTATAATACATTCTACTATTCTACTTAAGGTAGAAGTTAAGGCTCTATAAGTAGTAAATAAATAGAAAAAGAGGAGGGAAAGGAAGAGTAAGAGGTGTATAATGTAAGGGGGTAGTCTCTCTATATAATAGGGAGAGGATATCCTTTAGACTAGTAAGGTTAATGCTTAAATCTATATAGAGGTAGTAAGTGAGACTACTTAGTAGGTAGGCTCTAAAGGCTAATAGAAGCGCTATAGCTAATGTAAGAAAATTAGACATAATACCTATATGTATAAGAGGTGCTAGGAATTAATTATAATTAATTAAGGGTTATTATATAGGGTAGTAGTGTAGTAGTAGTAGTAATAGTTAGATTTTAGTGTTTTAGTAGGCAACTTACTTAGGTAGGCAACTTATATGTAAAATACATTATATATAACAAAGATATAACTTTATATAAATAGATTTAGACTACTTCTACTATCTATATAGCTACTTACTATTAGCCTCCTAGATAAATAAAGGGCATTCTAGTCTTTATATAGTAACCTAACTAAAGGCTTATGTACTTTAAGGACAAAGTACCTTCTAAAGGTAAGGGGTAGTATAAGGATGCCTCCTTACTTAGGGTAGTTATAGCTATTATATAGTACTATTAAGACTTAGGGCTATTATAGGTTAGTTATAACTAATAGCCTTAGGTATATAGTAAAAGGAAGCCTTAGGTATATAAGGAGTTAGCTAAGTTAGAGTAGTTCTAGGTATTTAAGGGAATAGCTATAGAGGGTTATACTATTATCTTTTTTATATTCTTTATAGTAGACTTATAGGGTTACACTAACTTCTATCTAACTTATACTCCTATATATAGCTTCTTATAATATAGTACCCTATGTCCCTACATTACTAGTCTTAAATTATATGTCCCTATATCTAGATCTAACTTATTTCTAAGTAACTAAGTGCTAAAGTGTTACTACTTTCCTAGACTTTAAAAAGGAGAAATTAGGAAATAGTAAACTAGCATTAAGGGGCCTAAAGTTAAGTAGCATTAATAGATTAATACTACTAAACTACTAATACTAGATTTTGTTAACTAATTACTATATTTAGTTCTATATTAGTAGGCTTTACTACTTTTACTACTATACTTTTTAGTTTTTATAACTTTATAAAAGTAGCTACCTATTTCTATAGTATCTAATACTATATTCTATTTCTAGTTTCTAGATCCTAGACTATTAGGTATCCTTAGTAAGTTTCTAATTCTAGGAGTTAGCTTTCTATTTATATAAAGCTATAGATATTATATTAGTGTTAGTATATAGCCTACCCTTAGTTTAGTGTCTATATACACCTACTCCTTCTCTTCCCTTTATTCCCCTATCTTCCCTTTTATCTTCCTACTATTTTCCTTTACATCTTACCTCTTATATTTCCCTTGTTCTTATTTTGCTTTTTATATATTACTTCTTTAGCTATCTCTTAATCTTTAAAGAGAGTAGTAGTTATAAAGCTCTTAAAGGATAAACTACTAGTAGATATTAAGTAGCTAGGATTAATAAAGAAACGTCTACTAAAAGTTGCCCTTATAATAAAGAGAGGATATATTTCTATCCTCTTACTTTAGTAAGACTTTATATTATATATTAACTAGCTAGTGTTAATCCTAAGTAGAGGTTGCTTAAGGGGCTTCTTTAAGATGTTAGTAATTAAGCATAAAGGGGTGTTAGGCTAGTATGTGTTTAACTAAAATATTCTTTCTCCTAATCTCGTATAGGTAATTGTTAATAGCTATATAGGAAAGTAATCTAAAGTTATGCCTAATAGATAATTATATATAACATTAGCATGTCTTTTATAGATTCGTTTTACTATATAGAAACCTTTTTTAGCTAGTTAGCTAGCTATAATTAGGTTAAGAGAATATCATTAGAATTAAATAAGGAAAGACAATAAGCTTATATAGTAATATCTCCTTAAGCTTAGACGTACAAATAGGTTGGATAATTAACTACATTTGTTTAACAAAACTTTGTTTTAACAGTGCTATAACATACTATGAAATGCACCTCGTGATTAAAGCTTCTTAACGCAATATCCAACAACATGTGGCAATACAGACCATTCGTCAAACAACTCCAAGTTCACCTCAGCCCATCCATGATCTGATTTCGCAGCGTTCACTAGTGTTGCTGTTGTATCTCTCAGAAGGTGACACCCAACAAAAAACTCCCAACCAAGCGCAGTGTAAAAGAACTGTAACAGATGTCCCACTTTGCTGCCCTCTTTGTGGAAGAATCTCCCCGCCTTGTTTCCTTCTTTGTTGCTCTCATTCACGACATGTTCACATATGACGAACCTTCCTCCAGGTTTCAAGCACCTGTATAGGACCTCGACGGTCTCATTTGGCTTCGGCACGCTGCAGAGAACGCGGATACAGACAATCTCATCAAACATACCACCACCGATGCTGCCGTCCTTGCTAAATAGACCCTCTTTTTTGAGTATTGGGATTAATGAGTCTGGCTCTGCACCACATGATAGGACCTTATACTTCTCACCTAGTCCAGCCTTCTTTGCGTTCTCCCGCAGAGCGTGATGTAAGTTAACGCCAGGTTCAACACCATAGATCATGGTAATGTTGTCCTTGCTTGAGAAGCGAAATACCTGATCGCCAGAACCGGGACCGATGTCCAAGACGACGCCGTGAGAGGTTGCAAGAATTTCACCTAACATCGGTGGAACCACATCTGCAAATACCGGACCGACTGCAATCCAGAATGAGGCGAAGGAAAGGTCGCGGTACGCTTTGAAGTCTGAAATTGGTAGTGTTGGTGAGGTAATGGCAGCTTGCAGGAAATCTGTGTTATGTGAGCGCATGCTTATACAAGTGGGAGAAATCTAATCTAGGCCTAGACCGTGTAGGAAATCTTTTAGCTACAAAAGAAATCCAGAGACTTACAAACTGCACTTTTAACCATGAGGAGGCCGGGGAGAATATATGCATGCAAATATTCTAGGACGGTTGGCGCCATTGCTGCTTAATATCGAAATTAAGATGTCTCTAGAGCCCGCAGGTTAGTATTCTCCAATTATAACCCGGAGTTATACAAGTTGAATATAGAGTACTCACTCTAACTGAGTATAATTGATTAAAGTATACAGTTGAAAAGGACGGGGTTGAATGGAGACAGTTAAGTTCTCTCGAATATACAATTACGACATCATCCGCGTGACCTTGTTCGGCCGCCTAGTATGACGACCTTCCCTATCCAAAACGTCATTTCACTGTAGAATAACCGTTTCACAATCCGAATTCCACACGGTCAATAGTCCCTCCGAGAACCGTCCACGACGAAGCGACCGCACCAGGACGCAGCCAGGAAGGACGCGCAACAGGGATTCATTCAGTAGCCATGTAGTCAGACAGAAATACAGTATATATCTTTCTCGATACCCCGTTACCGCTACGACGGCTGCATACTTTTCGAACCTGAGCTTATATCACGTTGCGAGGTTGGATTTAATGAAACCTCTCTAATTCTCGTTTTAGACGGGGCCGATAGTCCCGTGACCTGGTTTACAACAACTTCGATTCAGCGGCTTGTCACGCGATTAGTTCGTCCAACTGGTCTTTGGGCGGGGTCGGGTCAGTAATGCGGGGGCATTGGCGCTAATGCACCCCCAACCTTTGGGCAGGACCCGGATGCTCCGAACCAATTATTAGGCTCGAATCACACATCCCATGCCGACATCCAACTCTTTTCCAGGCAACCGAGCGCTAAAATGTTGCTGCTTTCCCAGGATTTAGGAATGGGGAATCGGGAAATGGTAAACTGGCATTAGAGGGCCCTCTACATGAGTTGGAATCGATGGATTAATACCACTAAACCACTGATGCTTTTCATTGTTGACCAATCGCGTATTGCCACATATGATGGTTTTGGGCTCCCGGCTGCTCGGCCCGCTGCTGCTTTTGCGATGCGCCACTTTCAAAAGCAGCTCCCCTTGATGTTAGTCGAGCATGCATGAGGTTGGCAGTGCTAGGAGGGTTCTGCCCCTCCTCGATAGCTGAGGGGCTGTTTGGGTCTTCCTTCGCTTAGCTCAGCTTGACAACTCCGGCATAGCCGCTAAGCAGTGGCTGGAGTCGAGAATGAATAAATCAAGCAATCAATCCTTTGGATAGTTACAAAGGTTGTACAGTACATATCTCGGCCCGACGGTAATCCCGCAACCCGCTTCATCAATAAAACGTATGTCTGTTTGGTAATCTACCTTGGTGAAGCGTGAGTCGATATGAACGCTCCTAACTCAGGCAATGAGACCGTCGCGATTGTCGGTTCGGGGTTGACCGGTCTGCTCGCCGCGCAGGGACTGAAGCTGGTGAGGGCTGGGCAGCAATCCAGTCGTTGATGCATCTTGCTAACGCGACCAGAATGGAATTACTGCAGTCGTTTTCGAGCGAGAAGAGAGTCTCGATGCACGATCTCGTGAATGGACGATACTGGTTCACTGGGCGATGCCCATCTTTGCGAAGCTGGTCCCGAAACACATTCTTGCGAATCTGAGCGAGGCTCTCTGCAATCCTCATTTAGACTTTAACGATGAAGTGGAGAGCTTGCCATGCTACAATGGCATTACAGGTGATCTACTCTTTAGTAGTTCTACACCAGGCGCCAGGCGGGTTAACCGGCGGCAGCTACGTAGGCTACTTGCACAGGGCATCGATATCAGATGGAATAAGTCGGTGAGAGAGCTATTGCAGACTGGTAGTGGCGTAAGACTTGAGTTTGAGGACGGAGGAACGTTTGATGCTGACCATATTCTTGGAGCTGATGGCTCCTCATCCAAAGTACGCGAAATGCTGTTAGGCGTCGAGCAAGCCCAGCCTCGTCAGTCTGGGTTTCTCTTTGCTACTGGAGTCACAAAGTTTGGTGACGCCGACAAGACTAATGCAGTCGTACAAGCACATCCTGTGGCAGCGCTCATGATGGGAGCAAGCACCGTTGGTGCTGTTGGCGGTATGTTAACTCCAACCCTCAAACATATAGTTGATTGATGCGTCTCACACATACTTGGTGGCGCTCCATAGTCATGTCAGTCGACGACCCCAATGACACATCCACCTGGACTACCTTTTGGGTCAAGATATGGCATGGAGATCCCGTGGATCTCAAGGGTCAAGAGGCTCTTAACTACATCAAAGAGAATACGGCTCCGTTGCGTGGGATATTCCAGTCCGCTATCGATTGGACGCCGGATGGAAGCTATGTTAGCATAAACGAGATGAAATACTGGGTTCCGACGCCCTGGAACAACTACGGAGGACGGGTAACGCTTGCCGGAGACGCCGCTCATCCCATGCTGGTTTGTAAGTACAGTGATCTCACGCATTATATATGGGGTTATCTAACCTCTATGAAGACAGGGGCCAAGGATTTCAGCACTCCATCACCGACGTTGACAACTACGTGAATGCATTAATCCAGGTGCGCTCATCTAGTAGCGATGCTACATCGAGGGAGATGATTATCGGGGCGTACGATAGCGAAATGGTCGAGAGAGGCGCCACGGCGGTGCAGCAATCCCTCATCGAGGCGGAGAATTCACTCGACTTGGAAAAGGTTAAGAAAATGCTTATGATGAGGCAGGGACATAGCAAGAGTGCATGAGGGGGTATCCTGTAGTTCGAAGTTTTAGATCACGTGACTTTTAGATTGGGTGTGTGTAATTCCGGCCCTAGGAATCAGGCCCTTAAGGCACCAACTTCGTGAAACCTTATGCGTACGGGCATGGTTTCGTACGGTAGAATAGCTTACGGGCGACGGCATAAGGAAAGGCCGTAGCCCCAAAGAATTCCACAAGTTTGGTTCACGCTCGGAAATCACATGTGATGACCGTCTCCCCTTCATGTATAGTCTATACTATACTATATTACAAAATACCGACCCCCTGCAGGATTGATTGGCTACAAAATAGCGAAATTCATGATTGGCTAACTTAGCGAGGCTGATAACGATAACGCCCCTTCAAAGCTCTACACGCTATTTTGACCGCTAGACGCTACATTAACACGCTACTTATGATCGCTAGACGCCACATTAGCACGCTACATATGATCGCTAGACGCTACATGTAACACACTAAAAACGTCGTTTTCCAGTGATAATAGTACTAAAATATCACCTAAACAGCCCCCTAAACACCCTATAGAACTCTGAATTTCCACTCCTTATTTCCACCGCTACGGCCACTTTCCAGCCACTTTCCACCGCTACGGCTACTTTTTACCGCTCGCTGGCGCCGAAGGTGCCGGCGTAAAACGGCGCCTACGGCGCCGTTCGAGTTTACTCGTTTTTCTCAAGTAGAAATGTTGAGGTGATTTAATTCATCACTTTTGTAATTACATCCTGAACTAACAAACATTTCAGCCACGATATCGCGTTTGTGGTTCATATGCGAGTATCTCTTTTAGATGTTTTCACAATCACAGTGGATGCGGATAAATATAGGAGGGGCCGTGGTTGGAGAGATAAACTCGTATACCAGGGATGCGCTGGGGATGGGAATTGCATAACGCCTGTCGAGCAGGTTGGCACAGCTTTGCTAGGACGGATTTGCTGGGATGCTGATGGTTGGTGATGGAGGAGTGCAGGGGTCGGGGAGTCCGGAAGACACCCCGCCTACAGAGCCTCGCTAGCTGTGGGCCAGATCGCGGGATCTGACAACTTTTGTTCCCAAACACATCTCGATGCTCTTGACACCTCTTTCTGATAAAATCTGCACCGCTGCGGATGCACTTCTTGGTACAACACCCGCTCATTGATACCATAGTAAATTAGACCAACCTTAATCCTGTCGCTCATGATGACTTCACTAGCCGGTGACCTAGCCAGCTGCCATGACGACGATGGTGCCTGCGATGAGGCGAAGTCGGCAACGCCCCTAAGCCCCGTAACAACGCTGGCAACAGAGGCGCCAGCAATTGAGGCAGCAAGTGAAAGTGGCGGCGACGACGAATTTGATGCTATCAGTGAATTGTTTGACGACACGACGAGTGTCACTTCGAGCATTTATGCGCACACATATGAGCGTGGCCGCCGCTATCAGTCCTTCAAGAATGGTCGCTACCCTATCCCCAATGACGACTTCGAACAGAATAGAGAGGACATGAAGCACGCAATGCTAATGGAGCTAACGGATGGGAAGCTATTCTACGCACCCATAGGCGAAAATCCACAGAAAATCCTTGATATAGGCACTGGGACTGGTGAGTCTTGGATATTGATTAGTGAGTAGCTGACTGAACGCAACAAAAATAGGAATCTGGGCAATTGAAGGTTAATACACACTAGTCCAATTGTTTATTGGTTTATAGAATGCAATTGACCCTTTTCAATTAGTTGGCGATTTGTACCCCAGCGCTCATATCTTAGGCATAGACCTAACGCCAATCCAACCACTATGGGTTCCCCCGAATGTCGAATTTGTAGTCGATGACTGCGAAAAGGATTGGCTGACGGGCGATGTCGACCTTGCTCATTTCCGGTTCATGGCTATGATTTTAAGAGATATACCTGGTGTTCTAGGACATGCCTACAAGTGAGTAACGCAAACTCTACCTCGGTGCCTCTCCTTGCCTTCATCTCCGGCTTTGTTTCTTCTCCTTCTGACGTTTGTTGCTCTATGCCAGGAGCCTTCGCCCTGGTGGATGGATCGAGCTCCAAGAACTACACGGTCACCCCTGCTGCGATGACGGCACAATGGGCCGTGATGATCAATTTAAGCAGTTATACGATTTGGCAGGCCAGGCTTACCAGAAATTTGGTATGAGCACTGCACTACCAGCGCAGCTTAAACCTTTGCTCCTCGATGCCGGATTCCAAAATATTCACTGCAAAATAATGAAAGTTCCTATTGGAACATGGGCGAAAGACAAGACCATGAGATTAATCGGCCTTTATCAGAAGACAGTTGTTGGCGATTTTATACCGACTCTAGCTGGGCGCCCATTTGAGGCCTTAGGTATGTCACAGGTAGAGGCACAAGTAACACTTGCCTTTGCTCGAAAGGCTCTGGATGATGCAAACGTCCATCGGTACTTTAACTATTACTTTTGGTATGCGCAGAAACCAGTGCTAGGCAGGACTACAGTTTAGTTTAGACAGTTGGTTTAACAAGTTCGCCAAAACTGCAGTTCAAACAGCCAGTTTTCTTTCATTCACAGTATAGGTCCATTTATGCACCTGTTAGAGCAGCTTTTGGTGGCTCAACTTGCCCTAGGCAATCTCAAATGCCGCCATTGAAAGTTAAGACGCGGGAGAGTGTGGCGTGACAACGCCAATAAATGTCGAGATAGTTGGATGTAACATCAGGTGTCATTTCTCTGCCGCTTATCATTGATAGGTGCGAGAATATTCATTGTCTGCTTTCTTTTTCAGAAGCTTGAAGAAAGTTGCCCCATTACTTGTCAATGTATCTTTTTTGACCGGCTTCTTCGGGCTACTTTTCGCCAAGTCCTAATTATACGGTCCTGCCGCCCAACAGCGAAGCGAGTACGGGCGAGAAGCCGTCGTCCATGACGGAGAAGCGTTAGATACCGTCGTGATGGTGGTACTGGTGCGAGAGCCACCTCGGTCAGGTCGGCATATTGGTCTCTGATGGCGACGCAGATGGTGAGACATTCCTCTTTGTCGTCGGCATTGTAATGGGCTATGAGCGGAGCTGCCGGGTATATAGAAGTGCGTGTTGGAATCGTCGACGATGGGATGTTGGCACAGATTAAATGCGGGATTTATCCCCGGATAGATTCGGTGTCGCCGCAACTACCGTCGACTTCGACTCCAGCGACGTCCTCGCCGATGGCACTCCCAGTTCCTGTATCCCAGCCTTGCCCAACTTCATCAGCGGATCCGGCTCCCAATCCTCCACGATACTTATTTTTGAATCTGTAAGAGATTGCTGGTCCTGCTTCGTCGGAAGATCCTCCCATAGCGTCTCATCAAAGAACACGAAATTCTCAACCACTAGCATGGCCACGGTCAGAATCAGCTTCCGCCAGTGCAGCTTGCTTAGCAAGGCGGAGAATCCTAGTTGCGTCATGTATATGCAAATAGTCGGTATACGAGTCTCGTATCCCTTAAGTTGCTCTTCGAGAATGTCGTGTTCGGGAAGTTTAAGAGAAGGAGTTACAGGATGGAGTTATAGACTGGAGTTATAGAACGGAGCTATGTAATGGAACTATAGAATGGAATTATAGATTAGAATACTGAAGTAGGTACCCCCTCACTTACCTTCATTGTAACGACGGTGCTACATCTAATAGCCGGACCACAATACATCGATTAAGGCGCAGCAGCATCCAGGCGTCCCTTCTCCACTCATTCCCCCTTTCTCTTCCGTTCCGCGGCCTGTACCGTGCTTCTCTCGTATATGCATCCCTCCAAATCCAGCGATCATTACCCCCTACGATACGACGGTCTGTAGTGTGGCATGTCTGTTACCAAGAAAAGCTTATATAACCCTGCGCGCCCCATTTTAAAGACTTGGCAACTACAACAATCCACCCTACCTACTGGCTGCTGGCCAAGCTTTTTTTAGTGTGACCTCACAGTGAGATTACTCGTTGTTTCCACGTGAAGAGATGTTTCTAAACATCTCTCATAGAACCTCCCAGTAGTGTCGCATTCTCCAACGAACACAACGCGATGCCTGTGTTTTATGTTTTTATGTTTGTATAAAGATCTCTGTACAATGCGTACGTATGTGTTCCTGCCCAGCCACGAGATCTGCCTGCTCTCTGCCCGCTCGTGAGCTGGCCGGCCATCCCACGAACGGGCCGGCCGGAAGCATATGAAACCAAAGGCGCTAGTCCTGAAACAGCCCGATCTGAGATCGTGCCCTGCAAGAAGTTATTCCCTACTTGATCGAGCGTCCCGTCTCATTACAGCCTAGCTGAGGAACTATGGTTATGTCAAACAGGGCGTGAAATGTTTATTTGTTAGCCGGCTCCATATTCGAGGCAGGCCCTGCTTGCTTTCTGTCGTTGTCACTACACTGTACATTCTCAATCCCCTACATACCATCATGGCCCATTCGAGGGCTCCCTCAAGGGCTGGCATTCTCGAGGAGTACGATATGGAACAGCTGCGCGACAACGGCGACGGCAGGGGACCTTCGAGGAAGAGCAGCCCTAGCCGTGCTCTACTACAGATCCTCGAGACAGAAGATCTCGATGCCGAGATGAAAATATTTCCTCCCCGACCACACTCCAGCGTCCGCGGACCCCTCATTCTCATCAAAACCTTCGTCGTCGCCTTTATAACGACTCTCATACCCAGCTTCTTGCGCAGATCACCCGACGGAGCTGCTAGCAAGAAACTGCATCCGACAGCTTACCTCGATGGGCTCCGCGGCGTTGCTGCCTTTATCGTCTTTATCCACCACTACATCATTGACTGGTACCCGATGCTGTGTCGCGGATACGCGTCCTCCGAGCCCGCGCACTCGCGGTACTTCCTGCAGCTGCCCTTGATCCGCGTCGTCTACTCCGGTCGCGGCATGGTGTCCGTCTTCTTCGTCATCTCGGGGTACGTCTTGAGCTACAAGGCAATCCGCTTGATGCGCGCACGGCAGTACTCCGTCCTCCTCGATTCCCTCGCCTCGTCCATCTTCCGACGAGGCATGCGCCTGTTCATCCCCATCACCGGGTCGACATTCATATCCATGCTCTTCTGCCGCTGGGGCTGGTACTCGCAGGACCCAATGGGAAGAAATACGATCCCGGCGCGCCGCGGCGATTTCTGGTTCCAATTTAAAGACTGGTGTCACCACGTCGTTCGCGTCTCGAACCCTCTCCTCGACGTCAACGGCAGGGACCTATACGCCCCCCCCTACGACGGCCATCTCTGGACAATCCCCATCGAGTACCGCGGCTCCATAATCGTCTTCCTGGCGCTGCTCTGCGTCGCGAAACTGTGGCCCTGGCTGCGCCTCTCCGTGCTGGCCGGCATGGTACTCTACAGCATCTGGGACTCGCACTGGGAAGTGTTCCTGTTCCTCTCTGGGATCCTCTTCTGCGATATCCACTTCCAGGCTGCGTCCCTTTCCCTTCGCGACCACAACCTCCACCTCGACAAGTCTCATCATAAATTTGCAAAAGAAGCCCTACTCATCATCACCTCCCTCTTCGCTCTCCACCTGGTCTGCTTCCCAGACGAACATGCAAACACCACCCCCGGCTACCGCACGCTGATTGGCCTGACCCCGCGCTCCTCCTCCGACCAGGGACTCACCCAGCGCTTCTGGATGGCCATCGGCGCATTCCTCCTCGTTGGCGCTATCAATTTCTCCACTTTGCTGCAGCGCCCCTTCACCACGCCTCTGGCGCAGTACCTAGGCCGCATCAGCTTCGCGCTGTATATCGTCCATGGGCCCGTGCTGTATACCCTCGGGATGAAGATGCTGTTGCCCGCGGTGCGCGACTGGAATCACGGGGGTGGTTGGGTGAATTACGCGCTAGGGGCGCTGGGGGCGTGGGTTGTGAATTTGGTAGTCTGTGTTGTCGCGGCAGATGTCTTTTGGAGGGAGGTCGATGCGAGGAGTGTGGGTTTTGCGGGGTGGGTGGCGCAGAAGTGTTGGGATAGGGAGGAGACGAGGGGTTAGTTGCGATGGAGTAGGGATACCATAGTATGTTCACGGCTTGGATGGTCTGTTGCACCTCCGCAACTGAGCGTTGCTGGATGTTGAGAGCATCTCGTCCCCAAACCCTCCCCCCCCTCTCCCCTTTCCCCGGCTACTCGCCCTCTCCTCTAATAATGCCGTATTCAACTGTCGATTGGACATTAACTAGTCATATAACCATTAGATAGTGTAGTAATTCAATTGATTATATTATTCTATATACTGTATTCTACTGTTGAAGCCTCTGTTCTGCTGCCCGTAAGAGATCCATTACGGTGACCAGAGATTACCACACAATTCTGTGTGTGGTTCTCCGTACTCCGCAATTACCTCCAACAAATACAAAGTTAATACAATCCCTATTACTCTATTTTTTTCCTGATCTAGCTATTTACATGTCTATAACAAGCTGCTATCTTTGTTGATGAATGTACGTACAATGGCACAAGATGAAGGCGTCCCTCTCCAAGAAAGACCACCGTCAAACTTCGACATTAGAGAGCATGATTTACGCGGGACTGAACTCTTCAATGTCAATCAAGCCAACTTAAGGCACTCAGAATCGAATAGAAAGAGGGCTTGCGTTTTAGTGGGCTCTGCAATATTAGAACTGCCGATATGGGGTGAATTAAGTTCCCCATTGCAATTGCAACTAAGCTAATGACACACGTAACTCAGGGTTTGCAATGAACTACGGCGTCTTCCAAGAATACTATTCCAGTAACTGGACGCTGCAAGGGAGCCAAAGATGTCACAGGTATTATTGGTACAACTTATAACGGCGTTATGTAGCTCTCCATACCCTTCTTGTTCGCGTTATTCACCAAGCGATGGGCTCATAGACGCCGGACCGGAGCTCTTTCCGGCGCTGCACTCACATGCGTCAGCTTCCTCCTGTCCTCGTTCAGCACTCACGTCTGGCATTTAGTTGCGACGCAAGGAGTTATGGTAGCGGTAGGATGTGCGCTTATCTACAGCCCGATAACTCTGTCGCTTGGCGAATGGCTCAATACCAGCAATCGAGCTGTAGCCTACGGTGTTGTCTTGTCCTGTAAAAATATCGTGGGGTCTGCTTGCCCGTTTCTGCTGCGGGTACTTCTGGATAGGTACGGTCCTACTCTGACGTTGAGAGTCTGGATCGCCATCGCGGCCGGAACTAGCATTCCCGCAATATTTTTAATACCGACCCCGCCTTCAAGTATATCCCAAGGCCTTCATCGAACCCGCGGAATCCCTTGGCAGTTCCTTAAACATCGAACTTTTAACATCTACAGCATCGCCATTATACTACAGGCCTGTGGGTATGGAATTCCGCAAACATTCCTAACCACATACGCCCACGATATAACTCTAGTGTCTCAAACCTCAGCTACCCTTCTGCTCACTCCTTTCAACATACCCGGAATCGTTGCATCCTCCTTCTTTGGGTACTTGAGCGACAACAAACGCTTCCCGCTTTCGGCGACAACTGTAACTGCTAATGCGCCGTCTGCTCCGCCCTGTCTGCATTCCTTCTCTGGGGCCTCACATCGCAAGGTAGTATGGTACTGTTAGTGGTATTCTCCATCACTTTTGGCTTCTTCGCCGGTGGCTACAGAGCGACTTGGGGTGGCGTCATTAAAGATGGAACTCGAGGCTGCCTAGAGAAACGAGGCTATTGATTTGGGAATGCTGTATGGTCTGTTGAATGGCGCGAGAGGAGTTGGGTATTTAAGTGGTGGGCTTGCTGGCGTGCCGTTACTTGAGGCTGGAAGTGAGAGATTGGTTGGAAGCTTTGGTTATGGAACAGCGTATGGGCCTCTCATCGTATTTACCGGGATATCGTCACTATTTGGCGGGTGGGATTGCTGTGGAAGTGGAAGAAGTTGCTGATATGAGACATTGTGAGGTAAAAGAAATTCTTCTGAGGAAGACTCCACATATACGTACGTTTCCTTTCCGTTTAGGGCCATTTTAGCCTATATCTAACAGTCTCGAGGGGCATCAGATATTCACGCTTTACCATCCTCACAGGTCCCTCATAATTTCAGACCTATGAAATCTCATGACAGCTCCACATAACCAAATGGACGAATACTTTGCAGCAAGCAGTTTCCCAACTTGTTAAAGCTCTCTTCTTAGCGCTGCTGTAGTCTTTCTTCCATATACAACGCAGGCCGTTGCCATTGCCGTTCGTCTTCTAAGGAGATCTGTAGAGAAGTATAATAGCAAGTGCTAACTAGAACTAGAAGCATTAGCTACAAGTTAACAATTAACACGGACTAGTCGCTGCTATAATTACCTAACTACTCCTATACATAATCACAAAGGCTGGCTAGCATAGCTACATCTTTCATTAGGAAGCTATTATATTCCTATACATATCTACTATTACCTTTCTATTTCACGCCTAGATTAGTAGGAAGATGATAAGAACAGACTATATTTTATATAATATCCTATAGTTATTAAAATAAACCCCCTATATTTATATTCATTTAATTACAACTCTCTTAATAGATTTTACTACTGCTCTTACTTTACTTACCTCTAATAACTATAATAGATCTCTTAGAATCAGACTGATACTCGGTAGGCATCGGCGACAAGCCGGGTCACCCACTGCCACGACAATGAGTATCACAGGGTAGACAAGTTATAGAAGGCTTCATTTATCTCTCTAGGTTTAGTTACCCGTCTTTGCTAAGGGCCTAGGAATGCTTGAGTACTCGTTAATTTGATCGAATACCTAAGGTACTCGCGGACTTGTCGAATACTACTTGGAACGAGTACTATTAGGGCATCACTGAAGCGGTCCTTTGATGGGGCTAATCTTGATGGCAGTTGTCTCTACAACCATTAACTAATTGCTCCGAGCGCTAGGCCGACTAAATAATAGACTATGATGATAGGTATGACGGAGTGTATCCTTGCCTGTGAAGAAAGGAGAGGGAGATGGAGCGTATATGATGGTGATACGAGGGTTTTAATTGATTTTGGTTAAGGCGAAGGGGGTATGAGATCAAGGCTTGGAGAAGGTAGTTGAAGTGCGCATTCAGGGGTTGGCTCTTAAGAGGATGATTCCGGAAACAAATAAGGTGAATAAGCCATTGACTAGGTTGGATGAATTAGAGTTACGGTTAATCAGAAACTGAGTGGGAAGGGCGAAGAAGATAGCGCTAATTACCGATTTTGGGAACAGAAGTGCGAGGTGGCGAAATTGATGCTAAAAGGAATGGGAAAGTGTTATACGTAGCTATGGCTAGGCATAAGAGACTCATATCTATCTACCTCGCTACATATCTATAATGAATAGAGAAAAGGCTCTAAGTTATGCCGCAGGAATCGTGAAGACCTGTCGATCACGACTCTCCATAGCTTTCGCGCACTTAGCCCCAGAGCCGCTCAAGATAACAGATCTCTGATCTCCCATAGGCAAAATAATGTCGAGATCCTTCCAGAGAGGCACGAAGTTACCCGACTTGTCATACTCTACCACAATATTATCTGGAGTGGATTGGTACCGGAGTGTAAAAGTTGAGATCTCAGGTCGAGAAGATATCCCGTCATCTTCATACCAAGTGTACGAGTATGTGCTGCTAGAGCCACCTGCAAATGGAAAGATCTCAACCGCACGATAATCATCTTCCACAACCTTATGTGAGGGGAATCTATGATCTCCGGTTGATCGAGTTTGGATATTCTTTCCGACCACGATGCCACCACCAACTCGTGCCAGAAGAGGGATACTCTCTCTCCACTCGGATTTGACCTCTGCCCATTGGCCAGATTTGAAATATTGGTATGGGGCGTTGAGATTAATATAGCCGTCGTCAGTGCTACCTTTGGAGGGAAGGTACATTCTCGTGGTCGTCTTTCCAGGTTCATATACCCCGCCCACTAGAATGGTATCTCCCAGCCAGTACTGAGTCTCGCCAGACATGTTTTTTGGTGTCCATACTTCTGGGTCTGATTCGTAGCCATGACCAATCCAACGCTGAGGAGGAGAAGCTGACATATGACTCTCGAGCATGAGGGAGTATAAGTATGGAATGATCTCGTAGCGGCGCTTGATCGTGTCGCGGATGAGAGGGGTAATCTCAGGATACATCCATGGCTCGATGACACCACCAATTGTGTTATCATTGTCGTCTGTCTTGAAACAGTTGATTGCAAATCGAGGAGAGTAGATACCTAGTTGGACCCAACGCAAAAGAAGCTCTGGACTCGGCTGTGGACCTTCAAAACCGCCAATGTCATGACCATAACACTGACTTGTTAGTTTGGCACCCGCAGAAATATAGGTGACATACTTGAAGCAAGCTAATCCCGGCGTTTAACGACAGCGAATTCGCACCTTTCATCCCATCCCAACTTGTCACATTGTCCCCACCCCATGAACTGGCAGCATATCTCATTGTTCCAGCAGTAGCAGATCTGGTGAGAACGAAAGGTCTGACTTCCGGCTCCAACTCAACCAAGGCATGATGAGATGACTTCCCCATAAGCTCTGTGTGAAGACTTCTTCCCCAGAGGCCAATACTCTTCCCGCTGTTAGGTGTTTCTTGCTCATCGCCATCCAGAGCGCACAGCCAACCATCATCAGGAATGGTGTATTCGTTGTTGTCATTCCAAATGCCTTCAATGCCACACTTTCTGAGAGCCTTCACACCCTCATACCACCATTGAAACCCAGCCTTGGAGGTGAAGTCAATATGGCCCCCTTCGCCACTCTCACCTCCACCAGCACTCCATAGCCGAGCAATTCCTGATTTCTTGGTTCTTGGATCTGTGAAGAAAGCACCAGATGATAGTAGTTTGGCATACTCAGGGTGATTGGAGAGAACATAAGGCTTCACATTCGCAATGATGCGAATACCTTCATCGTGGTACTTGGAAACGAAGCCTTCAGGATCTGGAAACCTGTGTCGATTCCATGTAAAGACATTTCTAGTCTTGGGTTCTGTTTCTGCAACAGTGTATCCAGACGACATCTGAAATGCCGAGCAAGGAATATCATGCCTCTTGAGTTTTGCAGCAAAGTCCATCAACACTTCAGAAGCCCGAGGCTCATCCACCATCGAATACTTCATACCGCCAGCAATATACCCAAATGCCCAGCGTGGAACAAGCATAGGGTATCCCACAAGATCTGCATATATCCTGATTACATCTTGGATTGACCTCCCCACCATTAGGTATTCTTCCAAACCCCCATAGTCCTGCCGGTAAACCTTGAAATGTCCCCAGAGTCCATCAATCTCCGCTCCAACTGAGTACGTTCCTCGGCTATGAGAGGTCGAGAATATACCAACACAACCTTCCGGGGTTACATTAATCAGAAGCGGGATGTGCTTGTAGAGAGGGTCGGTTCTATAGACATCGTATCCAAAGCAATCTGTTGCGGAGAGGATGAATTGCCTGTTTGATAGGTTCATAGGTGCAGCTTTCTCGCCCAGGCCAACATGCAATGTGTCCCTCTTGTATTGTGTATAATGTGCAATTCCGGTGGAATCCACCACATAGGATCGAAAGTTGAGGTCTCGATGGATTGCAGCGCTCTGGCCGGAGAATTGCAAGGAGACAACCGGAGGGCCGCTCCATTCAATGGTAGCTATAATATCTCCAACTATGGTTGTCTTCTGTGAGGCTGTGGATTCGGAGATAGGTTTGAGACCAGCAAGATCTGTTTTGGGACGAGGACAACTGGGATGGGGAGGAAGAGGATGAGTTTTCGAAGAGAAAGTTGTTCGGAAGAGTCCCGGACGAACTGCTTGGAAAGTAAATTGGAAGCTTGCATCGCCATCAGTGGACTCAAGTTGCACATCGGATGCAAATTGTGACTTCCCTTCGCCGAAACCATTCGTTTGAATGGGTACATACTTCTGTGGGGTATACTCGTGTTGAGGCATTGTGAGGAACTTTAAAGAATAGAGAGTTAGGAAAGGAGCGATGGAAAGAGCGGACGACCTTCCTACTTACCAAATTTCCACATTATGAAACCGAGACCGGCAAGAATGGTGAAGAAGCTGCTGCGGAGTTTGGTCGACATTTCCCCCCAGATCTCTCGGATTTCGGTTACATCTCCGACGCCAAACCCAAACCATAACTTCCCTACATAAACTCACATTTCTTTCCCGAAATCTACGGGGACTCCAGACCCCAGACCCCAGACTCCGTCTCTCCAAATTAGCCCCACAAGAAGGAAAGAGCGGACGATCTTCCTACTCACCAAATTTCCACATTATGAAACCGAGACCGACAAGAATGGTGAAGAAGCTGCTGCGGAGTTTGGTCGACATTTCCCCCCAGATCTCTCGGATTTCGGTTACATCTCCGACGCCAAACCCAAACCATATCCCTACATAAACTCACATTTCTGTCCCGAAATCTGCAGGGAACCCCAGACCCCAGACCCCATACCCCATACCCCAGACTCCGTCTCTCCAAAGTACCACCACAAGAAGCTAATGCGTCCGTTTTCCCTGCTTTCCACCCAGTCGGTGTTTCCATAAAGAGAGGTGATGGTTCCATCGATCTTTTCCTCCATCACCGAGTGGCAACAGTGTCGCTTGGATTGTACTTCTCATTTCGCACACCTCGTTCTTGTCTTCGGCATACTCCTTTCAATATGGATTCTAAACAGGAAGGCGAGTCTGCTGAGCGCAAACCTACTATCGAAGCTATCGAGGATCCGTCCAAGTTTGTTTTCCAAGTAGCTCATGTAGCAGGCAAGGACCGCGCTGCGGAGCTTCTGGGCAATACCGCCGAACGTATCGCTGTTTCGGAGGCAGACAACAGACGAATCCTTAGGAGAATCGATTTTACTCTCCTTCCTATTATGCTTGGAGTCTACTTTCTCCAACAACTCGACAAGTCCACGCTTTCCTACGCCTCCGTTTTTGGGTTAATCACTGTAAGATTTTGGTGGATTGAGATCCACTCTGTCCTTGAAATCCCATTTCTGTATGCTGATGGGCCGTCTGTATCCAGGATGCGCACCTTGTGGGCCAAGATTATTCCTGGCTCGGCTCTATAGTTTACATAGCTCAGCTTGTCGCCCAACCTATAATCGCATACTTCTTAGTCAAGCTTCCCACTGGAAAGTTCGCTGCCTCTATGGTGCTAAGCTGGGGTATCGTGTTGAGCTGTATGGCTGTCACCAAAAATTTCAAAGGCTTGCTTGCTACCAGGTTTTTCTTGGGCTGCTTCGAAGCGTCAGTTGGTAAGTGGTCCTGTCATCCAAGGATACTCTTCGCTGACGCACTTAGCTCCAACCTTTGTGGCCATCACCCAGATGTGGTGGAGAAGAAGTGAGCAGACGTATCGAAACGCAGCCTGGTATTCAATGAATGGTATTACCAATATGGTGAGCTAGTCTTCCTCCTTTCCAAGCCGTTGCTAATCCAAGTTGAGGTTGGAAGTCTTCTCGCGTATGGGCTTGGTCATATCAACTCCGGCGAATTGCATTCGTATCAGGTAAGAGCCTTCTCGTTAGTTTTCGTGCCTCTCTCACTCGCGATAGATTATATTCTTAGCTTGTGGGCTTCTAACTGTCGTGTTCTCGATACTTGTCTTGTAAGCCACAAATCCTCCGAGTTCAGTTACCCTACCTAACTTTCAAAGTCTCTTTATGGCCGACTCCCCAGTCGATGCCAAGTTCCTCAACGATCATGACAAGGTACTTGCTGTTGAACGACTTCGTGACAACCAAATGGGTGTTGTTTCAACCGAGTGGAAATGGGACCATGTGGTTGAAAGTCTACTCGATATTAAGACTTGGTGTTGGTTTGCTTTGATCTTCTCCATATCGTGAGTTTCTATCTGCTGTTGACGATTGCACGATTCTGATGGGAACAGGATTCCTAGTGGAGGCATCACGACCTTCGGCCCGCTAATTGTCAACTCTTTCGGCTTCAATAAGTTCAGTACCATCCTTCTTAACATTCCTTTTGGTGCCGTCCAAATCGTCGCTACAATGGGTGGAGCAGCATTTGCAACTTGGACAAAACGCAAGGGACCAGCCCTCGCATTGCTCTGTATTCCACCAATTGCTGGATGTGTCATGTTATTAGTTCTGGAGCATACTAAGTCCAATCGTGGCCCTCTTTTGGTTGGATACTACTTGGTACGTCTCTGCTTACACAGTAAACTTTGAAAAGATGCTGACTCACCGTTGTAGATCTCATTTTACCCTGGAATTTGTACGCTTCTCCTGGACTGATAATCTTGGTATATGCTAATACACTCCAGCACCACTCATCTTCTCGTGGTCGTCTCAGAATACGGCTGGTGAAACAAAGAAGAAGACCACCACTGCTGTCTTATTCATAGGCGCTAGTGCAGGCAATGTTAGTCGCACCTTCCTACAACCGAATCTTTCCGTTTTAACTATTCTAGATCATTGGACCCCACCTCTACACCACAGCTGAAGCACCTCGCTACAAGCGTGGTCTGGTCTCTAGTCTCGTCCTCTTTATCATCCTCATCATTCTCGTCGTGTGAGTCCCAACGACCCTTTGTCTTGGCACCGCAGCTAACATCCGACAGTCTCACGACACTTCATCTCATATACCTTAACAATAGGCATGCTGCCTGCAGAACGGCACTTGGCAAGTCAGCCGTCATTGTGGATAGATCTATGATGAATGCTCAAGAGCGTGCGATAAGCGATGAAGCTGAAGAGGGGAGAGATCCTTCTGGGAGTGACAAAGCGTTTGATGATATCACGGACTTGAAAAACGAGGACTTCATCTTCGTGTACTAAAGCGGCTGTTTATTCTGGGTTCAGTCAAATGTTGAATCATACGTACGGTTTGAATTGGATAAAATATTGGAGCTCGTTGCTCATTGCTCAGTCCATGTTTTATTTCTCCCGCCTGAAGTAATACTATTTCTGCTGTAGAAAAAGGTATCCAGTTTTTCAAGGTAGCACTCTTACAGTCACGGCTCACTCACGAAGCTCTACCTCTTCTCCTCCATCAAATTTCTCGTGTACATCCTCTGGTTCTACCTCCCGCATTCGTCTTGAACGCGCTGGGGATATAATACGAACCCAACCGCTGGTGTGGCTTACCGTTATCGGGCTCCTTGGTCATGCTGTCGCTGTATATTCACATGGCATTGGCGAGGTACGACACAGGTTACTTGACACTGCCGCTAGCAGTATTGAGTCAATTATCGACGATGCAGCAACGTAGCTACCATTGTCTAGAAGAGGGAGATGATGAGTCGTCGTGTAGGAATAGAGGGAAGGATAAAGCCAGGGGAGAGATGTTGTGGATGTGACATTGGACGTGTCTGCGATGTCTTATATGGGAAATTCAGAAGGGTTAATTCGTAGGACACCAGTTTTATTGTATTACAAAAAAGGCGCGAGAAATTGAGTTGAGATCCTCTACTTCAATTCCCGGTCCCAAAATCCGAAAATAAATCCTGAAAATCGAAAGGGATCCAAGAAAATGTCAGGCCAGGGAAGTTCCACTCCAAGACGAACTCTTTAGGTACATAGCTCTGAAAGTCCATCTCGGCATCTGCTCCATCGATACCTCTGCCAATATTCTCGTTCAGATCTCCATTCAGAGCTTTTTCACACTTCTCTACGCTCAAGCACAAGATTCGAAAGTAAATATTACTGGAGCCACCGACTTTGGAGAGCTCTCCTAGTAGAGTCTTGGCGTCACCAATGAGGGAGGACATTTTTGTCGAAGAGGGTATGAGACGGGCTAGTTTGAGGAGCAGAAGCACTGAGAAGGCGCATTTTGCTGTTGAGATGTCAGTATACAGGATGGGTAATAAGAGAGACAGAAGAAAAGAGCTTACCCCAAACAAAATCCATTCCATAACGGAACGTGGCAAGATACAGCACAGGGTTTGAGATAATCGTGCAGAGATGCCGCTGCGCACTAGCTTTTGCTAGATAAACCAGGTTCCGCTGCGGATCTGACATGATGCTAAGAGCAACTCTTTCAATTTCCTTTCTGGCTTTCCTTGATGAGGAGAACTTACGCAACATTCTCAACCCCCATCCCCTGCAGACCTGTGCACAACATCGTCATCTCAGCCCAATCTCTCTGGATTCGCAAATTGATTTGGAGGCTTGCGCGGTCTTCCTCTTTATACACATTGGAGTCTCGGAACACATGTCAATTCGCGATCATCGCTGCGGGATACAGAGACTCACCAATAAGGTTTGTCCAGTCACTGTTAAAGTCAGAATAGACACATTTGAATAAGGCACCCCAATCTTACCTCAACCAGACACTTAAGTCGATTCTTGTCTCCTGCACAATCTCGCTCATTTCCTCATCACTCATACTTGATCCTGCTGCTGGCGAGAGTCGTTCATGGGCGAGTGCTACCATGAACATCAGCATATGGCCCACATATTCTTCAATCCCTAAAACTATCTTACCTCGGATTGAGTTCAACTTAAGAGATGTGATCAGCTATTTTCTTTTCTCGTAATTTGACACATACCTCAACCTGAGACAGAAGTCTGAAATCCAGTGCAGTGCGACTAGGGTGGGCGAGCAGTACTCGACATCTTCTCATGCCATCCCTAGAAGCTGCCCTAATACCAGGTTTCTTCCCACAATCTAGACTCAAACTTTCCACCTTCAGCTCTTTAATTCTATTCCTCGGAAAACATTTCACTCACATATTCTCCATAATAAAAGACCCAAACCAAACCCGACTCTCCCTCATCAACCTCTCTTCCTCAACTTTCTCTGTCCCCCCTTCGCCCTCATTGCCTAAACTTAGCCCACTCAATTTCGCATAGGAGCCAGGCAAGTCAAGATCAAGAGCCATTCGCACAGCCATACTCGTTAGGAGCCATCCCTTTTCGGAATACCCCGCGTTAATGAGCAGCGCTTGCACCGTTTCTACCGACGCCGGGACTGTCCCTAGAAGAACATCGCAGATTCGAGATTTGGTCATATTAGAGAGGGATTGGCATTTATCGGAGCCAGGTCCTTGGCTGTCAGTCTGCGTCGAGCTGTGGCCGGAAGGAGAAATACGCACCACATTCAGCTCTACACCCTACAGCGCAAATCGTATCAAACAACATCGAGCTCCGTTCCCTCACAGACTCAAAAGTATCATACGTGACATCAAAAACTGGAACATACTTATCCTATTCCAGATCAGTCTCTCCTTCTCTCCTACTTCACCTTCAGAATGAGTAAAACTCACACAGCCCTGAAAAAACGTCCCGAAATACACACCCGCATCCTCAAGGCTGATGAGGCCCTTACTAACAATATCCAACCCAACCTCAACATTCAACTCGATATCTCCTCTTTTTCTCTTTGCGAAACCCGCTCCGTTCCCATAACTAGTACTCGGACTCTCCAAATATGCCCTTGAATGTTGAGAGTGCTGATTATTCCCACTCATCGAAATCGATAGATTTGACACAGGACTGGCAGACTCCCTCTGCTGTCCCTGATACTGCTGTGAATAACGCGGTGATCCTGTTCCATATCCATTTCCATTCTGAGCATGCTGATGTTGTAACTCTAGCAAGGCAACAGCAGTGGTGGTGTCAGGGATTCGATTTCGCAGCATCTCCATCTGGGTTTCGATTTCTGCGAATTTTCTGAGAATGGTATAAGTGAGAGAGATGGGAGGGGGGAATAGAGAAAGGGGATATACTCTGTCACGGGGTCGGGGACGGGTTTGATGAAGTCGCAGTAGAAATTTGCGGTTTTACAGCGGGTGCAGGGTTTGCCACCGTCACATTTTAGCTGCTCAAGAATCAGCTTAAATGCTCAATGATCAGTTTTTAAGTACTGAGAACGCGGAACTTACTTTGGATATTCTGCAAGCTGAGCAAGCTCTCTAAAACCGAAGTGGTCAGCAATCGGCTCACAAGGTCTCTGGACTTTTCATTGCCGCAATACGGGGAGGTGGGAGGAGAAGAACTTACGGGTATTCTTCTTTTCTTTGGGGCAGGAGATTGAGATGTTTTCATCTTGAGGACACCAGATTTTGGTTTACAAGGAGCTAGAAAATAGATGTACGACACATCGAAATCAGCTTTGGTGTTGACGGCCAGGCATTTCCACCATGGGCGTGCGGGGAAAATCACGTGGAGCTTGCCCGGGAAATAAGGTGTCGTGATCCCAGACATGGATGTGGCCTTTCGAGAGGTCACAGAATTGGCCAAGATCACGAGTTGCCATATTAATTCTAAAGAGTCGGTCAAGCCAAGAATCCAAGCTTGGGACACGAGAAGGGCCTATCAACTTGGAAACTAAAAACCGTTAACGCTGAAACGCAAAACCTTGAAATCAAAAATAACCTGCTCTAATTTTGAGGTAGCGGGCTGACAAAGATGTCACCCTCAGGAACCTGGGGTGACGGTTGCTATTATGCTGTATCCACAATATGCAAGGATGGATGCCTTTGGGCGGGTAGTAAAGCGCGCACATTGGCTATGCGCCTACAAGCTACGGCTAGGGAGCTGAATGCTCTGAACCAATTGCTAGTCTTGAATCACGCGTACCCATGTCGACATCCAACTTTTTTTCTAGGCAACTGAGCGGCAAAGTGTCGCTGCTTTTCCCAGACTTCAGAAAGGAGAAATCAGAAAATGGTAAACCAGCATTGGCGGGCCCAAAGCCAAGCTGGCATCAGTGGATTAATACCACTAAACCATTGATGCCGGATTGATGTTAATCAATTGTTGTATTCCGATAGATGTTAGCGGGACCCGCGGCTTTAACCACCACAACTTTCAGTTTTCGAGAGACACATTAGGGGACAAACCATAGGGCTCTTATGGCTACCTAGGGTCTCCCCCCAAATGGCAGTGCAAGTAACAACACCGAAGCCAACCATTCCCTGTTGCCATGAAACCGCCCGCAGGCACATCCTGTGCCTGCGATCACCTGAGGCAGATTTCGGAACCAACCAACCGTTTCGCGGTTTTAAGCGCTCTTAGGCTGATTCGGTGGTCGTTGCAGGTGGAGATGGACGTGCTTAGTGGCAGTGTAAGTAAAAGTAGCAAAGGTCCTAGTGTGAACACGGTAGCGGGGGGGCTGACAACGAGAGACGATTTTGGTGGTGGTCTTGGCGCGTGAGCGACCGCGACCAAAGAGAAGCCTGATGGTAAAGGGAGGTCGCGGGATTAAGCAACCCTTCATTATGAGTACTTGGCACGGCTTTCCAAAGGGCAAGTGTATCCGATGTTTCAAACCGAGAAAAAAGAATGCACCTAGACGAAAATGGTCTAAATGGTAACCTGTACTGCCCTACTCGGTTTTGATTCTTTTCAGACTAACAAATTGTTAGCTCTTCATGTGCTCTAGAACTTTATTAGGTTGAGACTAACGCTATTAAGTTCAAGACAAAAGATGTAAGCTTCGGATTAAGCCGTAAATGGTACCGGGATTATCAATTGGCCTCACGGAAGAAGAAGTCAACGGAAGGAGATTATCGTCCTACTGTAGAACAGGAGACTACCCCTATGTCGACCAGCGGAATTACGTATGAAAACCCGCCAATCGATCTTGTATGCAGGCGTCTCATAATGAAGTGGGAGCCGATATTCAATATTGTTCATCGTTAGTAACGATTCGTTACCTCCACTGCCGGTGTGTGATCCGATTGTCAACGCCTTCATATATAGAAAAGGAGGTGACCAGCTTAGTCCCTGCCTTATGTCCTAGACATAATACACGAGGCGTCAATCATCAGGAAACATTAACTACTACCAGGACCAGTATTTCAAAAAGTTTGGGGGTTACCGTTCATTTCAAGATTTTATTTACGATCGCAATCCGATCATATATAGAAGTTTAGGTAGTGAGAGATTCTTACCTAATGACCATATTGAAGACGCACTCAAAGCTTGGAACAATTTCAGAGAAGGAAATGAAGAGGGCTTTCACAAGGCAGCTTTCGAGTACTTTTTCGAGATTAATAATGAACTAGAGAAAATGGGCTTGAAGTTGCCCGACGGGACTACAGAAATTATTAAGGATGAAAGGGTTTAAAGACGGAATGCGGCAGCTGCTGAGAATAAACTGCTCGGACTTAGCGAGTTCAGCAATTTAGGCCAAAATGAAGAACAACGACGAGATCTCTCCGAATCACCTATGATAAGAGAGGTAAATGAGATACTAGATGGGCGGTGCTTGTGAAATTTTCACTGGGCGATTAAGGATTGAGTGTGGTACGATGTGCGCGTTAGAGCTACTCTAATGCTAAGGTGCCATTTATAAATCTAGTGTCTCAAAGTAACGTCCGTCCCTAGGTGGCGGAAAAACCACGGTGCGGTCGGAATTTGGAAGGGCAATATAGATTGTTGTATAATCGCAGTAAAACCGACGAAGTTGTCTATGCTTCTTACGTTACTATTATGAGGTTCTAGTATTAGGCCAGTGGTTCCGTAACCTCTGGGCTACAGGGCAGGCCACGGGGCAGCCCCCGTTTCTACGAAGCTGCTATCTGCATGGAAGACACAGGATGCAGCCTTTTGAGACGCATGAGGCAGATATCAGAATCAGGACGCTATCATAATCGAAGACAGAGGATGTGGCACTTTTATGCAAAAATCTAAATCAACTAACTGCACCCCGTTTCCATGAAGCCGCTGTCGTGATCACGGACACAGGATTCAGCCCTTTTAAAAGCCCTAAAGGAGGTTTAGGAAACCGGCTAACCATCCCCCGTTTCGATAAAGCCGCTGTCATAATCGAAGATATAGAATGCGGCCTTTCGAGAGGCCCAATGCAGATTTGGGCAATCGACCAATCATGCCCCGTTCCCACAATCGCAGACACGGGATACAGCCTTTTTAATGGCCTAAGGCAGATATCAGAATCGACTAACCGTTTCGCGTTTTTGAGCGCTCTTAGGCCGCTTCGGCAGTTGCTGATGGCAGGGATAGACGTGCTATGTAGTCTACAGACCTTTACACACGATATACGCCCGGTTAAGTCCGCGAGCCTCTGCAAGCGCCATAATTATTATGTTTTGTCCCAAAGGTGCTATGGGGTTTCTTTACAGGCAGTGGGCAATATGAGGGATTTTGGTCGAGGTAGTTGTTGACCCAGCGAAGAATAGCGGATAATTGCCCGTGTTCGCACGGACCACCCTAGCTAATCGTCGGTGAGAACACCGACGATTACGTACTTGAGGAATTAGGTTTGAGGACCGATTATTGGTTGAAATGAACGTTAGAACCACTTTTCGATCACATCCCTGTACCTAGATGCACCAGGCCAACATCCAAACCTCTTAAAGTAGCACCCGCAGATCGCGTCCTGATCTTTGCTAATGCTACAGGAGCACTTTCAATTTCAAAAATGGGTGCGGTGTGCCCTCATCTTTCAAAATCGCCAGAAACCACCCCTTGAAGTAATTCCAACACACGCCAAGACTATGTACCCATTATGAACACGTACTTTTCTTTTAATCACAAAGAACGCCTCTTGAAGTGACCTCTTTAGAACTGTCCCTGTCTCTGTCTACAACACATCGCTTTTACGTCCCTGTATTGATTTGCCAGAATAAATCATGCAGAGAAAACGAATGTAATCGATTGTCCAAACCTAACTATGTAAACTACGGGTAGGCCTTAGTGAATATAAATGTCTCGAAATAAGAATTGAGAACCCTCCCGGGTGGAGTTAGTCGCGCTAATTGCAAGCTCGAGAGCTGATTTGACGAATATAGGAAGGAGTATCCGGGCTGTGTAAGCCTGCATAAAGCTCTTGGAAATGCCGACAGGGGGAAGATGCGGGGTCATGCGACCCCGTGTTGTCGCTTTGACGGCGACACCGACGATCGAAAATAGTTACTGTGGTCCGCTAGTTGTGGTGCACCGTGAAGACGGAGGACTCTTATCCTGCATAGTAGGGTAGTTTTGTCCGTCGTCGTTATATGAGGAAGTAAAGTTTGCACGGAGATCGTCGGTTTCGCAGGTGGGAAGGTGGCGGAGACGTTAGGAACGCTCGCACGGCAAGGCTGCGAGATCATTTACCGCCACGCGGTTTAAAGAACAGGGTTGGTTAATCATAGCACTTTTTCGATAGTCAGCGAAACCACCAAAGACTAATCAGGATAAGTCTTTGATAGCGAGTTATGGTTGATGATGTGAATCATGTAGTAGACGAAAGATGAAATAGTTGCATAGCATTATCATTAATGAAGTGACAGAAGGTATAGCGATACACCAGAGGCCCCTGAGCTCACTGCCTCCCAGAGCATCGTCACTTGTCCTGACACTCTCTAAGTCTAGCCGGCTGATTAGCTACTGGCTGATTCCAGGTACAATCTCCACTATTGGTCGGAGAATGCAGTTCTAGAGAATGGTGGACTTCACCTCCTAGAACCTGTACCGTAGATGTTCCAAAATCCTGCCATAACCGTGCCGTCACCTTCTTGGTCGCTTAAGCGCCATCCGTCGGATAACTTCAAATAGAAAACATAATCCTAACTATTCTCATGCACTCTTGTGACATAATATTAGCTCAGCGTTCACTGGGCTTAATCTTTACTCCACACCACATTGACTGTCATAATATCCATGGCCGCTGCCTTCGAAGTTCAACGATTCAACAGACATATATTTTGAGAGCGGCATTTAACGCCTGAAATACAAATATGTGTTGACATAGGTCTATTACGTCCTTTAAGGTAGATTTGATTGTCTTCGTGGCCAGGCTGTTTTCCTCCGCGCAGGGCCTGGCCCAAGTGCATCCTTCCAAGACAAAATGCTCATTTGTCGCCAATTACTTCTCGTCTAGATCTCACTGGTACTAGCCAAGGCCGGAATATCTTCGTTACAGTTCTTTCCCTTGCTGGGAATCGACACTAATTAGCCAAGGAGGAGGGGGCGGCGGAGTCAGGGCTTGGCAGCTAATAGGTGGCGAAAGATTAGCAAAAGCCCTCTCCCTTTCTTGGGAAGATATCTGCCGCTAGCTTGGCTTTCTCTTAAGCTGACGTGTGTCGGTCCGTTTTATTCTCTAGTCTGTAGAAATCCCCCTGAAGGTAAGGTTGTCTGCAATAATGAATTGATTGGTTGAAGCCGTGGATTCGTTCACCTCCATAGGGCCCCAATAGCCACGATTTATCGTCTATAAGATCAAGTACTAACCCCGGAATTTCCCCAGATTAATAGTCAATTCCCTTCTCCAAGCCTCGTCAGCTTATCCCACTTCCTATATGTCCCCCTATACACGCTATCCTCAAACAACTACTTCCGTTATGGAGAAGAAAGAAGATCTTGGCTCGGCTGTGGTCCATGATGAGGATATCTTCAAAGATACTGAGAAGCCTAGCGCGGTACAACGTGATTACTCTGGTGCTATCATCTCGATTGACCCAATCGAGAAACGACTTGTTAAGAAGCTAGACCTCAGAATCATGGTGCGCTAGATCTTTCTCTCAACTCTTCTAAGTTAACGGGTATTAGCCAACGCTTTGGTTAATGTACTGGCTTAACTATCTCGATCGTAATGCTATTGCTCTAGCGAAGCTGGATCATATCGAAAAAGATCTTAACATCACTCCTACGCGTAAGTCCTAAGAACACCATCTTTAGATGGTCTTAAGCAGAGTACTAATTTTTTCTCTTTCGTTTGTATAGAGTACTCCACCTGCGTCTCCATTCTCTTCGTCGGGTATGATAACACAGTCAGACTAGAATCGACCGTCAACTAACTAAATTCAGTTACATTCTTGGTGGAATTCCCTCGAACATGTTGATTACCAGAATCAGGCCATCCTTTTACATGGTGCGTGATATTGGCTACTTAGGATTTACTTCCATACTCATATTCTAATAGGGATCAGCCATGGCGCTCTGGGCCATCGTTTCGACACTTACCAGCATTTCACAAAATTTCACTGGGCTTCTCCTTACTCGATTTTTCTTAGGCGTCACAGAGGCCCCATTTTATCCGTACGTGAGGTTTTTTGTATTTCGCCTATGGTATACTGACGGAACCTAGTGGTGCATTGTACCTCCTTTCCATCTTCTACACCAGGAAAGAGGTCGCCACTCGCATTGCCATTCTATACACAGGAAACATCTTCGCTACTGCCTTTGCTGGTCTAATCGCCATTGTCCTCTTCAAAATGGACGGAATCGCGGGCCTTGAGGGATGGAGATGGCTCTTTATTATCCAGGGTATTTTAACCTTTGTAGTGGCTGTTGTTGGCACCCATTTCCTACCCGATGACCCAACTGTGACCCGCTGGCTCACACCAGAGGAGCGCATTCTCGCACACGAACGTATCAAGCGAGACACAGTTGATGATCAGGGCAAAATCTCTACTATTAAAGGACTTAAAGAAGCTCTTTCGGACTACCGGGTTTGGATTTTTGTCTTTATGCAGCACATGCACCTGGCATCTAACGGATTCAAAAACTTTGTACGTGTAGTTGATTGTCATCACAGGTTCTTGCTAATCAGTTTTCTAGTTCCCTAGTGTTGTTCAAGGTCTTGGCTTCGATCGAACCATCACCCTTGTGTTGACTTGCCCACCAGTGCGTACCCAGCGATTGAAATGCCGCAATCTTACACTAATAATGCCTTTCTTTAGTATCTTATTGCTGGTGCGATTAGCGTGTATTGGTCATGGTCTTCAGGGAAGTTCAATGAGAGAACCTGGCACATCTCAATTGCTAAGGCTGTCGCCATTCTTGGATTTATACTTGGATTCGCAGTCAACAACACTGCTGCACGCTACGTCAGCATGGTTATTTTTGCTATTGGAACTTACGCTGTTAATAGTATCATTCTCGGGTGGGTTGGTGCTACCTGCGGACAAACAAAGGAGAAGAGAGCTATTGCAATTTCTATCATCGTTAGCACATCAAACGCGAGTTTCATCTGGACTCCGGTAAGTCTTTTCTAAAACTCATAACGTCTGAGCTTTACTAACTTGGGTACAGTACCTTTGGACCAACTCTTACGGGGGAAGGTATACTCTTGCGCTTGCTACTAGCGCTGCCTTTTCTGCAGCAACAGCTATCGCAGCTTGGGCCATGAGATTCAACCTCATGAGAGAGAACAAAAAGATCAGACAAGATGAAGATGAAGCGACCTTATATTATGCCTACTAAAGGAGTCATTTTTAGGAAACCGACTTTTGGCAGAGCCGCTATCAATTATTTAGGCGCTACATAGTATATTATAAAGAGTGCTTTACAAATACTATAACGTGGTTCATACAATTTTCTAGGTTTTATGCAAGTAGAACTTCGCTGAGGAATAAGATGGGAGTGAAAGGAGAGGAATGAATGACTGTATGTGGAGTAGGGAAATCTGCTCTCCTTTTTCCTTCTTCTCCTTCTCCTTCTCGCCTCCCTTCCCGTCTATCCTACTACTCTGCTTGCCTCTTAGTTACCTTGATCTTGCTAAGGCAATAGTTATAAAGCCCTCGAAGGATAAACTACTAGTGAATGAGAGACGTCTTTTCACAATAGAGCTAATGCTAATTAATTTGCCCATTTTGCTTACGTATTTTCTTTTGAAAATGGTATTTTACGTGATAAAATATTTCGAGAATAAGTGAAAATTACGCAAAACAAAGACCATTTGTACGAAATGAAGAGCTCATGGTGCGGATAACGCCTATTTATTAAGATATATTGTAGCCTATAGACAATATTTATCTTAGAACTCATTTAGGCCGATGTCACAGTGAATTTCGTGCCTTTCTTCCCCTTCAAGTTAACGATGGCCCCTGTGCCCAGACCAGCCACCTTGATACTCTGATCTTCATTGCTGCCAATTGGCGTCTGGCCGATCGTAACGTAGACGTCATTCTCCAGCTCCGACGTAATCGTCGCAGTCTTGAGTTGCCCTTGTTATCTCAGCTGGCGTCAACCTTGAAGCCTCCTCGAGTAATCATGCCCTTGAATGAACCTCCGCCACTGGCAACCCACGCAGCTGGAATACTGGGTAGCAGGCAAATTAGAGTGACTTTGTTGAGCTCTCCTGTATAAGCTGCTTCCAATTTGGCGTTGCCAGGAGGTGCTGTCATTATATTCGTGGCTTTGTATGAAAGATTCCACAATACCAGCGGGAGTACGAAAATTGCCATCAATCTGGAAGGGTGCCACGTCTCCCTGGTTTAACATGGTCTTATTCCATGAGCATTCGCTCATTTGAGTAACAAGACGTTCATGCGCTATGTCTGGGAGGAGCATGCGGCCAGACATGGCAATAGTCCAGTCTCGGGGCCAACCACAAGGGCCGCCGCCATTACTATTCAATACATACCATCCGCTTGAGTTACGAGAGAATATATGGTTTTATTAGAGAGCATCAACGCTATGGGAAGAGTTGCCTTGACACCATGCAGAATGTGTAACGGAGAATAGGAAAAAGAAAAAAAAAACGAGACCTACTCAAGTCGATTGTGAAGACTGGTGATAGCGGCGTCAAACGTCGTTTTGTTAGACGAGTTGATATGCAATAGCGGATATATTGGTACAAGGTGGGAAGTGTGCCCGTTGCCTGGGATAGACTACAACAAGGAGGGGAAGAAGAAGTCAGCCGACAGTGAACTAGAGGTTTCCTCTCTGACAACAGGATAGTGCACCTCTTCATAGTCATGGATCCATTCGGCAATGCCACCGTATTGATTTATCCTTAAGCTAAGAAGCTTCGCCCTCATCTGGGCTGCGCGCTTGGCAAATTTATCGTCTCGAATACAGAGCGCAGCCTGCGCCTCAGGAACAAATCCGAAGAGGTCCAGAGCAACTGGTTATCGATAGTCGTACCAAGTGAAATGGACGCTGTCTTCCCGTTGCTATTTGGTATGACATAAGTGTTTTCTGCAGATACTCTTGAATTTGTTACCATATAACTGTTATATTCTTTCAGAAAGTTGAGTGCAAATTCAACGTTAGCCTTAAGTGTCGGGAACATGTCCTTGAGAAGCTCCTTATCCCCAGTAAATCGATAGTGTTCTATCATATGAGTGACCATCCATGTGGCTCCCATCGGCCAAAAAGTTGCAGGAGAATAATTATCCTGGGGTGCCGAATCACCCCACAAATCCGTGTTATGGTGAGTTACGGTGCTAGAGCAGCCGTACATCTCCTTGGCCACTTTTGCGCCTTGTGTGCCCATCGTTTTTAAGAGGCTATTCAGTGGCGAAGTTAGATCCGCAAGACCTTTTGTTAAACTGAAGTTAGCGCTCATTCTACTTAGAGAGTATAACATTACAGCTCAAATGGCTACTCACCTGTAGCCAAGCTGGGCCAATAGTTCATCTCTAGACCAAAACGTTAGAACTATTCAGTAAGAGGTAAAAAGCAAGCACTCCAGTTGGAAGTACAAGCCTGCTAGTTCAGGGTCAAAAGCATCAACTGCAATATTGGCCATCCTTTGAGGCGCCGTGAGCGCTTTTTGTTCCGGTGTTGATTTCCAAGATACAGAGACATACGCCCTGCGATAGCTTGGTAGTGGGAAACATGGGCGACGCGAATATCGCTGTAGCTCTTCGATACAGCCGCTAGATCAGAGAGAACTGCACGCTTGGGATCCTTCCTTCGGTAGCTCGTTCATGCCTGAAAGAAAACCGTAGCCTCATCTGCTCTCTTACACAGAACATTATCACCTAGCGTCGAAACTTTGCCACCAGACGCGACTATGCGTGCTCCAGCAGCCTAGACAATAGGCCCAGCACCTGCAGTAGACCCTCCAATGACAATAGAGTCATTGTTTGAGGCAGTCTATACTGAACGTGGCGATCTAGCTCAACGACGTCCCAGGCACCACGGTCCAACCTGACATTGAAATTGAGAGAGCCGGGCTTACTGGCCATGGGGTTTATAGTGATGATATCATCTGGATTGCTCGCGAGGTAGTCTCGTTGAAAAGTAATGCCACCCACGAAAAATTGCGTACCACCTACCGACTCTTCAACATCTTTTCATCGCTCATAGCCTGTTGAATTGCCATCCGGAGACGTTAGCCCTGTCTTACCCCGCGCCTGGGAGATCTTAGCTCCATCCCACCCCGCACGACGAATACCATCATCCTTCCTGGACCCGGATGCTCCGAACCAGTTATTAGGCTCGAATCACACATCCCCATGTCGACATCCAATTCTTTTCCAGGCAACCGAGCGCTAAAATGTCGCTGCTTTTCCAGGATTCAAGAAAGGGGAACCAGGAAAGGGTAAACTGGCATTAGAGGGCCCTCTCCATGAACTGGCATCGATGGATTAATATCACTAAACCACTGATGCTTCTAGTTGTTAGCCAGTCCCGTACGACGATAGATGTTAGCCGTAGAGGCTGTCTTAACGACCTGCACACAATTGAGATAACTTGAAGAAGCCGCCTTTGTTCAAACCAGGTTGAAATCCCTCATTTGACTGCGTCCCACAGCCTATCCGGGAAGATCTCAACAACTATCAAACGCGCTGTCACGTGTTTTACAGCGTTCTTAATGGTATCTGAGACTAATCGTGTTCGTCTTGGTATATATTGTGCTTTGGGGAACAAGAGCACAAAGAATTGGTATTATTTCGCTAATGGACTAAGTAACCAACCCAATTCTTGGGCTTTCTGAACACCTATGAGCTCCTCTAACCCCTGTCGAGATAAGAAGTCATGGTCACAGAACTCGAACCCTGGGACGACGGTCTCGCTAATCAACAGCCCCTGACTATGAACTCCGCCGTCTTCGTCCGGTAGCAGATAACTCGCTTTATACTTGTCGCCTTCAACGATCCACTGTAGCTTTTCTCCTTTTTCGATATTAGGTCCAACAATGAAGCTTTCAATCCTTTTTTCCTTCCCTAATTCATTGGCATGAATTATCACGTATCTTCCTCTACCCTTGTGTAATGTGTGTACTGTGCGCCCTTTGTTTCGATGGAATCCTCCTTGAGGACCATTTGGTGTAAGAAAATAATGAATTGTGGTCGAAGTATTTCGAAGGGTAGGGTCAAACCCAGGCCGTTTGGGTGTGAGCTCTGATGTGGAAGAGGCTTTGATGGGGAATGGAGAAGAAACGATATCTGGCGATCGGTCGGTTTCTATAAAGTAGCCCCCTTCGATGTGTGGCATCATCTTGAGTGCAGAAATGATAGCATCGACTCCCGGTGACTCTGTAGCACCTGGGTTGGTGGTGAAACTTGGCCTTAGAACTGCCATAGTAGTATAACGCAAGGTATAAAAATGAAAGCTTATACAGATACTGCGACAATATATGACGCCGACAAAGAAAAGAAGCATGAAAAAGAGAACTTGACTTCACTATTGTTGTAGGTATTTTCGATTACGGAGCTTAATCGCCGCCTTCACTCCGTCTGACATAAGCGCTAACAATAGTAGAGTATTCGACGATAACTTTGGCTATCCAACGCGCTTATGTGAGACTTATGGCGACATTTCTTACCTAAGTACATTTTTAATCTTGCTAATTTTGATGTATAACAAGTACAACAGCACTTTGTAGAATTCTCACTTTGTGCCCTGGCATAGATGCATTTGTTTCTGTTCCCTCTAACGCCTAATATAGTAATACACTCGTGTTAGGGTGCTGTGTTACACCTGACCCCTCGCCACGGGCGATATGCGAGCCAGCACGACTGCATCTATGTTCCAAATCTATATACGGTGTACCATTACATGCAGACAAAATTTGAGCGCTTGTCTTCAGGCCCCCAATGACCTGTTTCTCTTCGAGATCTATTTGGCGACCATCTTGGAGCGCGAAAACAAAAATATTTCAGATGATTTCACAAAGTGCGGTACAGCATTTTATTTAATTAAGAACAGTAAGAATTATTCCTAACTTATAATACGAAATTATCTGCATTTTATTCTACTTATCCTTAATAGGATCATTGTATGTGACATCCAGAATATTAAGAACCCATTCCAGAGTCACACATGAAGTAAGTTCAAACTTCTAGTTCCACCTACTCCTTAGACCCAAGCACCATGGCTAGGTTCCCATTTGTAGCATTGGTGTCGTTGCGGCCGAGGGAACCAAGTCCAAAGTTGCTGATAGCGCCGCGGAGGAGTCCATAATGGGTGATATACGAATCATCCTTGGTGTTAGGCTCAATCCCGTGCCCAAACAAAATAGTCGCAATTTGGTTGTTGTTGTTCGGAATATAGTCGTTATCATCCTGCCACGTCGCCTCGTCAAATGTCGCCACAATCAGCGTCCCCTGTTCCGTAAGCTCCTCAAGATACATATCTAGGAACGCATTGAACCACATCCCGGCTGTAGTAGGCTGGTGGGCATAATCGCTGTTAGACTCGGGGTCATGTCCATTATGCAGCATATCCGGGACGTAGTAAGAGTACGCGGGCATACTGTGGCCAAACACATCCTCATCGAACTTCGCGGTCGCATTGTAGACCTTGCTGCAGCGTTCGTAGTTCTCGGTGTACGTCGAGAACAGCAGCGCCGGAACATCCAGGCGGCGGTATACAGGGCTGGACCAGTCGGGATTGGTGCTATCGAGCGGGCCGAGGAAGAGCTCATTGTTGCAGTCGTTCGGGCCGCGCTTCGTCTCAAGGGGCGTATAACCTTCGACGTAGGTAGCGTAGTTGATCTTCTCAGCGTCGAGGAGATCATACACAGTCGTAGTATTAACGTTATAGAGGTCCTCGCCAGCGATCCCAAAAAAGTCCCCAGCAAGGAGAGCAAGGTAGTTCGGTAGCGACGGGTGCGTGATGCCGTAGCTGTTCGTTAGGAGTCTTCCCCGTTTCGCGAGCAGCTTCCACCACTTATCAGCCATGGTCCAACCGTAGACTTCATTCTCGAAGATGACATGAAGGATCTTCTTGAACTTGCGGTCGCCGTCGCCGTGTATGTGCTGCCAGTCTGCGTCATCGTCGTTGGCTTTGGCGGGGAAGACCTTTTTCGGGGTCCCCTCGTTGATTACAAAGAAGGGGTACACGGTGTTGTCCGCTGGGGTATTTGGGATTCCGAGAGGGTCGGTTTGGGCAGTGTTGTTGTTAATGCCGACGGTGTTGTTGTTCACTGCCCAGCTGTAATAGCCGCCATAATTGGACGCTTTGAAGGGTGGCTTGTACTGGACCTTGTAACCTGCCAACGACGGGTCGCTAGAGTTGTACAGGCCACCCCCTATGAATGGGACCTCGCTATCGGCAAGCTCGTGCTGCGCCGCCGCGCTACCAATTAGCGCAAGGAGAGCTGTGGCACTCGTCGCGCCTGCGGATTTCAGGTTGTAGCGCATGTTGAACAACGGCTACGGAAGTATAAAGCCAATAGAAACCAACAAGAAAAGATGAAATTGTGTCTTTGTTGCTGGCCCAGAAATAACAACCTTTATTGTGGCCATAACCAAGTAGATATATGCTCAACCGCCGCCTACAGAGAGACAAGATCTGCGCCCTTTGGCTTCTACATTTTTCTGGAAATTATGATTAAATATCACATTAGATGATTCTTCACTGGGATTGGGTAGAGGCAGAAATGTCGAAGCACGTTGTCAAAGACTTGGCAGAGGCTTGTCACACGTGGTCTGGAACTCGCCCTTGTTTAAAGATCGACGTTAAGCTAGCACTTACCGCAGTGGGCCCACAGTAGGCTGTGCAACCTCACGAGTTTGAGCAAGCAGAGTAGAGTATAAATTCTTCATTTCTATTTTTTATAATATAGAGTTCACTTGTTACTCCCATTGATCCCTGCCATCACTATCACAAGATAAATCTGATCTAACCAACCGTTTCAAGCGCCACGTAGTCGCCCCTTGGATCGCCCAAGATTCAAGCTGGGTTTGTTCACAGACTAGATGCCGAGTTGCCCCAAGCTAGTGCCATCGCTGTTAGATTGTTTTAGCCAACGGAGCTAGAATATAATATGAACTATTGCTGAGTCGGAATATAGTCTCACCCACGTGCACTGCTGATCATATGAGAGTAGTTATGAGGGATTATAATTGGTGCTGGGGCGATGCAGTGCATACTAACCAGGATACATTAATCAGCGGTTGCAAGAGTGGCAGTTGAAGTCGGCAGGGTTGTTGTTACTAGTCAGATAGTTGTGCGAAGGCCCGATATGATAATCTCAGTATAGTTGTACGTAACCTGGGTTTATCAGGTGGGACAGTTTGCAACGTGAAGGATCTACTTCATGCGACGGAGAAGGGCAGAAACTGAATCCAACTAGTCATCTTTAGAATTAAAGCACAGTGAGATGTACGGTCTCCCCTTTTGGCCGGTCAGGGCTCCTTGATTATTCCGGTGTCCCATGTTTGGTCATCGCCTAATGCGTCCATTACAGTTATATGTAAAATCTTGTCAGTTAAGAATAATCAGGAGAGCTGCAAAACCAACTAATATATGTTCAGGGGCTTCGTTTCAGTTCGCTTGTTGGTTACCATAGCTTCTGAAGAGTAGGGACACAGAAACAAAAGGCTCTTAACGATGGGAAGCTTTCATGCAACGCAGAACAAAGGGGATTCCGGGAGCCAACCACCAGCTTTACGATTTGACGCCCGTAAGTGCCTTGTTCCGGGCTGTCTGGTAGTTATGCTGGTTGCTATGGCCTACTGAAATCAAAAGGTAATTGGGGTTGGAGGTAAAAGCAGCAATGGTCGAGGAGCGGGAACTTGGAGGCGGAATGCTGACAATGGGGTATAGTTTTAGTGATCCTGGCGCGGGAGCGACCGCACTGAAAATAGAAGGAAGAAATAGTCGCATATGGATACTATCAACAGCAGTAATATAGTATATAGGCGAAGTACTATAGAATGGACAAATCAATTAACTAACTAACTGGTGGGCCTTACGTATTTAAGAGGCCTAACTGGAGTCCCAATCGAGGCATCTTTGGTTAATAGCATTAGATCCGTCCCGCTGTGGTAGCGATAGACCCGAGGCCGAACGGCGGTTAAGAGGATTTGGCACTTCAGAATTATCCCAGCCTGTAAACATAGTCGCAGTATCCAGGCTTGGATCATGACAAGGGTTCATTAACTTGGGAGCCGAAAACCGTCGACACTAAAACCCAAAACCCCTGAAACCAAAACATCAAAAGTCGAAAGACTAAAACCCTAAAATACTAAACAGAACATCTTGCACCAATTTTGACGTAGCAGCCTGACAAGAATATGACTGCCCCGAACTTGAGTGACGGCTGCGAGTTCTTATTGCTACACCCACAATATACAGGGCTGGATACCTTCAGGCGGTAAGGCGCGGATATACACCTACAACTTATTTGCAGGGAGCTGTATTCTCTAAACTGATTACTTGCTTGAATCACGCGTCCCCATGTCGACATCTATAGGCAACCGAGTATCAAATATCCTAGGAATTGAGAAAAGATAAATCAAGAAATAGTAAACCGAGGTTCGGGGGTCAAAGGCAGCTGGCGGGTAGGGTGCGTCATGGGGGACCGTTGGTTCTAAACCGCCGGTCTGAAGATTTCCAACCCAGACCACGGACTAGGTTAGAAAATCAGGGCAAACCGCCCAAACCGGTGTGATGCCGTAACGGTCTGCCAAGAAACCGTTCGATATATCGTAGTGTACTACTACACCTATATAATATGTAAAGGAACTTAATCATGTGATAGACTATAATAACATATTATCACATGACAAAGTACCTTTACTTATAAAATAGGTGTAATAGTACATCCGCTATATTTTGAACGGTTTCTTAGCAGACCGGTGGGGGACCGTGGGTAATAGACCGGACCACGGTCTGGGTTGAAGATTTGGAACCGGATCGCCCCATGGTGCGGTCTGGGGTTGGTCCCTCGACGGGTCGGTCCCCCATGACGCACCCTACTATTAACCCACTGATGCTTTTTTATTAACCAGCTGCATATTAGAATATATGTTAGTAGGACCTTGGCCGCTCCGTTCATCCTTGCCGCTTTTGCAATCGCCATTTTCGTGTTTTGATACTTGCAAAGCGGCTCATTTTGTTGATTGTCGAGCATACGTTAGCACTTTCTACCATTACAATCCACTCCAACCTGACAGGCAGGACAGGTAAAATTTGCATATGGGCGCAAGTCAGATCCCCATGGTCGTGGCGCTTGTGGCGCACGGTCTCAGCGCTAAAAAAGCTTCGTTTATATCTACTGTACTTGGCATGGCTTCATCTGCACTCCCCTGGCCTGGACCCAGCCACTTTCGGCTTTTAGCCAATTTAAGCCACTCTCAGCCTCACCATGCACGGAGAAGATGAGGAGTTAATTGGCCGTCCAAATTGCTAACAACAGAAAGAAGCCGCCTCGAGTATGCCTCGTGTGCCCAGCGGCTCGTTCGGCACACCGCATCTTTCCTACTTAGGTATCGTTTGTCTTATTTATCCCCGTCTTGGCCTTTACGTCTCTGTTTATCTGTTGGGTCTGCTGAGGGTGGAAAGATTTGCCAATATTATAGCCAAGAACGCCTGCCCCTTAATACCCTTATACTCCTCTCCTCGCGTTGCTTCTGGTCTCTAGGTCACTATGGTTCGCATTCTATTGCCAATATTCGCCGCAATTGGCGTTGCTACGGCTGTCGTCCAACTTACCACGACGGGTTGTAGCGATTCATCCGGCCTGCAGACCTGTTTGAATGCAGTCACAGCCTTAACGTCTAAGTGCTTGAACCAAGCAGACGCTGACGCGAGCCAGCTCGAAACTGTGGCGTGTGGTTGCACAAACTATATTTCGAGCTACAACTGCTACGCATCCCACTGCTGGAACCGCGTCAACGAGTGCGAGTACCAGTCGTACATCATCGAGTACCTGATCAATTGCCCAACTGCAAAGACTCCCGTTCCATACTTTCCCACACCAAAAGGAGCACCCGCCGCCTGCTCCTGCAACGTGGGGGAGGTCTACGAAGCTATTACCGGGAGCATCTCCCAGGGCACGACATGCGTGAACAACCAGAATGGAGGCGACGCCTTTACGAATGTGCAGAGGATCCAGGGCTGCGAGTGCTGCGAAGTCAGCGCTGCCCTTTCGAGGTAAGTCACTCGCACCAGACATGACGCGAGTCCACTAACCGTACTAGCATCTATGGCATCTGCCCCACCACTGACCCCACGCTCATCGGCTTGAACCAAGTCCAAAGTCTCGAAACGAATCTCAACACTCCGATCAACAGCTGCGCGCCCTACATCGCCAAGTACCCGTGCGAGTCTGACCTTGGTTTCCCTGCCGTCGCGGGCGGGACATTCTACGATGCTGCTAATCTCCCGGCGAGTGGGACGGCGACATTATCGAATGGGCCTGGGACGGTTACGGCACCAGCTAGCGGGTCGGTGTTCACGTATACAAATCCCGCAGATAGCCAGGTGTATGTTATTTCGGCTGCAGGCGTAAAGGCTGGCGGGGGTGACAGCGGATCCGGCAACGCGGCCGCGACAACTACTGGCAGCAGTGGCAGTGGGAGCTCGGGTGGATCAGGGGGATCAAGTGGAGGGACCGCCACTGGGGGTGCTGCATCTCCAGGTAAGACGGGCGTGGCCGGACAGGTTTCGGCCAGATGGGGATTGCTTGTCGTTGCAGTTTTGGTTAGTTGCCTGATGGTATGCTAAAGGGATATATAGATAATACATAGTAATAGATATACAAACATACCCCTTTATTCTATATATCTAATTATGTGGGGTCTCACAACACGATTGGTTCCTAGGACCCGTGGTCTTTGGAGCCAGCTAATCCCCCCGACGTTCTCTGCTCTTAAGATAGCGGTGCGTGAGAGTCACTTAGCTCCTACGTTCCTATGTCGTGCGCCCAGCTCAGTCGTCATACCCAAAAAAGTCGGACGACGTTGAAGTTCCGATATTTCACCTCGTTTGCTAATCCTGGTAATATTCATGGTGCCATACCAATTAACTTTTACGCATCCATGGTTACCTATAACGCATCTACTTATGACATTGACATTTTCCTAGATTTATCGGATTATGAGTCACTTACCTCTTTGTGTAGTAGAAACCCCACATAACTGGGTGGCTTTACAAGTTGCCGAAATAATTATGCACAAATATATTCACATTAGAAAAAAATAAACGCTCCAAATGCAGCTAGCACGCAGGATATGCCGACAACAGATACGCCAGGAACAACGAGTTGCTGGGCGACACTCTCATCGTCATTTGTACAATTAGCTGGTGCGTCTATGCCCCTGCACAAGGTGGCCGCCAAGGAGGCAGACATGCTTGCAACAACAACGGAGTCGACCTTAACCTGACTAGGATTTGCGGTGGGCGTCGGGGTGGAGGACGCCACCACTGCACATGTGTCGCCGCCAGACCAGTCCACCCCAAAAGGAACTGCCATGGTTCTGTCCGTAACGTTGATCGCAACCCCTAGTTCTGCGGGGCAGGTTTTGTTGTTTGTGACAGCAACAAGATCGATTTCTGGCGCAGAATTGTCGGTGGTGAAGAGGACAGACCAACTCGAGGAGTTGCGGATCATGTCACGGCTCAGCCCGGCGGAAAAGGCGACCTCATTGCAACTTTCCCAAGTCACATGCCAGGTCAGCCACCAACGGCCCTCCTTCGCGAAGACATCATGAAAGTAGTTGCATACAAAGTAGGGGTCATGACTAGACCAGTTTGCTAATCGCAAGTCGTGGGAGAAGCTGGCGCCGTCGTTCCCAAGCATGTTGTCCCAGTTCCGTATAGTGTAGGAGATATGAGGGTTGAGAAGTCGCGCACGCTCGGCATTCTGGAAGGCAAAAACGACGGGAAACCAGGTGGTGGGCGCATATGTTTCGTTGCGCGGGAAAACCAGGTCCACTTCCAACACGCTCGCAGCGGCAGCGTTCAGGTTGACAATGGCCCCAATACAGGCAACGAGGAACCAACTTTCCCTTGCTAGGGAGAAGCGCATGGTAGATAGAGGGTGATACTCGTATGATGCCGAGATGCCGAGGTGCGAGAAGAGTCAGGGAATGTTGAGGAGTAACAAACAGCACAACAGAGAAGAAAAGGCATAAAGGAGAGTTTGGGGATTTTGTAGTGAAAGTGATATATTAGACTAAACCAGATTGGCCGTAGCAGGAAGAATATGTGAAGGAACTCCCGAGATGGCGCTAACGGCTAATAGTGGAGACAGCGATTTTGTGCAGACTATGCGTCTGTGCTTTTTTCTCATATAAATCACTACAATTTGAGCACGGACCCGTGTTCATACTTATGGCGCCGTACTGTCCGTCCTCCATAAATGCACCATAAGTGCTCCGTCTCCGTACTTTCTACATGTAGAGAAAGAGCGATAGTTTATTACTATGATAGACAACTACCCCAACCATGGGCCTATCTGCCGTAAAGTTGATCTTTACCCCATTCCTGTTCGGTCAGTGCTTGGCGTGACTAAGAGGAGGTGCGTGCCAGCAGGAGCTAGTTACCAGGAACAGAACCTAGCTTACATCCATCCGCCGATCCCCGGGCTACCCGGGACAGGGAGTTGGATATCAAGAATTACGTCTGCTCTACAAGTGTGTACAACTTAGTTACAAGGAAGGCCAGTATAAGACTAAACACACATAACAGTCCATGATATAAAAACAGAAACGGAATGTTATGTTACATAGTGCAGAAGCAGGGAAAGAAAAATATATACGGCAAACTATTATATAAAACGAAACACCACGCCTCAGCGCTTATAATTAAATAGAGGAGAAATTGGTATGTACATAATCCCGTAAACCACTCATAGCTTACCTCCTGCCTTGGTAACTGCAGCATCATACTCGAACCCGCAATTCTGCTATACAAAACCGCTAATCACGCTCTCCTCGTTCTGCAGTCATTGCAGCGGCCATCTTGCGCTTAATTGGTGGCAAGGAATTCACCGCCCTCATGCCAAGCCGCATTAGCACCAATGCTAGTCCCCCTCGTAGTCCTGGCTTATAGATGGCATCGTCTGCATTAAATCTCTCGAGCGATTTCTCTACCCGATCCCAGGCATACGTGTGCATCTGCTGTTCATACTTTGCTACAGCTGTGACAACCGAGAGATCCTTCTCCGCCGACGACACTAGGGCTGCAGTTAATATCTGGGCATCAAGAAGTGCTGTATTCGCACCGACGCCTAAACCGGGAGTCATTGTGTGAATGGCATCACCTATTAGAGTAACCGCGCTGCTTTCCCAGGGCTGTAGGCGCTCAGTCGTGCGGATGTTAAGCGGGAAACAGGTATTCGGTTCAGATAACTCAAATAGTTTACGCAAATCGGGATGCCAGGAGGAGGTGCGATCCAATAATAAAGCATGCAGACTCGGCCCGTCTAGAGACATGTAGTTATTGGGCAATCGTCGTCCGTGTGAGCCAAACCCAAGCATGATATAATCCCTCGTGTTATCAAAATTCAGGCCCGGCCATTCCTTTATTAGCTCTTGGTCGTTGGCCCCAACGTTATTTTTCAAATTTCCATTATGATCCCATGGAAACTCCATGACGTGGAGAATGCAGCTATCTCCGTGAGGTGCCGTGAACATGTTAACTCCTCTCAGAACTTTGGGAGTAAGCAATTTTCGCGTTTCTTCTGTGAGCGGGAGTTTCGCGGTTGCTCCATATAGCCCAGTCTCTTTCAAAATGGCGTGGGGAAGATACTGTTTTCGTACTAGGGAGTTTGTACCGTCCGCACCAACGAGAGCATCGCCAACAGCCTGAGTGCCGTCCTTGAAATTGGCGGTGACAGTACCGTCAGCGTTGAGGGTGTAGTGGGTGAATGCTTTATCGAATTTAACAGCATCCTCTAGTCCGGTAAGGAGGAGCTGGCGCAGCGTCATGCGGCTAACTGAGCGCTCAGCCCCTGCGCCATGTGGCGAGGACTCGCTGAAACCACTAATGCTGAGCAGCTCCGTATACTGTTCTGTGAGCATGTTGAAATAGTCGGGAGTAATAGCAGTGGTACATTTGAAAACTTCGAATAGATCAGGTGGTAAGCAGGCGGCTAGGGATCGAGAACCATCTGGGGAGATGCCGACACGGTAACCATACAGGCCGTCCTTCCGCGTGCGATCACGCTCGTAGATGGTGAATGAGATGTTCGCATTAGCTTTTTGCAAAGCGTGTCCTAGAGCAAGGCCGCCTGTACCAGCGCCAATTATGATGATATGCATGGCTGCTTAGTAAATGATTGTTGGGGGTAAATGCGGTCGCCTTAATTACTACGACTTGGCTACCGATCTGCTATCGATTTTGTGACCTGTTCATAGGAATCTTTCGGCCTAAGGCACCTAACTCGACACTCCCCTCCTGTCTATTAAATGAATTGCTCTTCTCGGGTACTGAAGTTCTGCTCTTCGCAGTATTACGAGAATAATATTAAATGCCACTTGATTCCACTATTGATGCCCTGTTGTTAATACTGACGTTCAACGTTCTCATGATTAAATGATGGTGATTATAGAACCACCTTGGGGAAGTTAATTATACGCAACCTCAATTTGAGCCATCAGTTAATTGAACTGTTTATTTATCATCTATCGTCGCTATCGTTTCTCATCAAAATCAACATGTCTACTATCCATTTTTGAACACCAAATTGAAGTCAACTAGGATACCCTGTGTTGACGAGGTCAACCTGCTCAACCCAAGAACAAATCTAAAAAGAGACGACTTGCGACGCAAACCAAGAACATGAAAGAACCATCTTTTCCAACCTATAAAAATATTCAAACGACGACGAGACCGGCTCGCAAAACAAACTCGAGTGTGAGACAACGCAGAAAAATATATATGAAATGAACAAAGAAAGAGATGCCAAGAGGGCTTCTTAATGCCTTTAGGTCCTGGTCTTCTCTGGGTCTCCCCTCCGTGCCTCACGAGCAGCGATGCGGTCTTTGCGTTCTATTTGCCACCGCTGGCCATTTCGCCACTGGATCACAAGAAGTGGGGTCAGAACAGCAGCGACAGCAGCCCAGATCGCGAATGTTGGACCGGAGGCGATGCTATCAACCATGAGCTGCACTACGGCGACACCGCCGGCGCCCATAAGACAGCGCACAAGGTTATTGACTGCGGTGGCGCTGGCCGAGGCTTGCGGAAAGAGGTCAACGACGAGTGTGGAATTGAGAGCGAATATTGAGTTGGCGGTGTATGAGATTAAAAACTGAAGGATAAGGGGAACGGCGATGACGTTGAAATTGAGCGAGAAGCCGTACAGCGCGGTGGAGATGATGAAGATGAGGACCATCCACCAAATAGAACGCATGCGAGCCTGGGCGAAGGGAAAGTCGACGAGCTCCTTCTTATTGAGAGGGTGTGAATCAGGGATGTCTTTGGCCACTCGGTATTGGGCTTCCATCACAGCCCAGTCATGCTTCGAAAGTTCTCCAGTGAGGTAGGAGCCGAGCATGGATGCGATACCGTTAGGGAGGAAGACTAGGCCGACTTGAAGGTCCGAGAGGTTGAAGCGGTCTTGGAAGAGCGCTGTGGTGCTGGAGGTCACCATGCTCCATACTGCGTAAACGATCGAGCCAAAGAAGATAACGCTAAACACGTCCTTTTCGAGTAGAAGCATAAATGGTCCGAAAGCCATGGACGACGTCAATCTCTTCTTTGTGGGTATTTCTCGCTCAACGAGATGCTCCTCCGACTGGGTGAACTTGTAGTATATTGGTCTATGGATGCCCTTTAAGCAGACAGTGCCGTTGCTAGCGATGGATCGGAGGGTCTCCGGCAGGAAGACAACAAGGATGGTGAGAGCGAAGATGCCCCCTCCGAAGAGGACCCAGAATATGGCATGGTAGCCAAGGTACTGGGCGATGATTCCGCCGAAAACGGGGCCGATTGCCTGTCCAAACATACGGACTATTTGGTTAGCGGAGAACAAGATAAATTGAAAATGGTTACTCACTTCCCTGATTAGTTCCTGTAAATGACCCGCGTTCTTTGGGGGTAGCGATGTCACCTATTAGCCCCTGACCTAACTCGATGTTAGTATCCATATCATTGAACGGGAGTGGAAATACCTACCAATTGATATAGTGGCAGCACTTCCGGCTGCTTGCATGGCACGGAGTACCATCAGGGGCACAAAGCCAGTGCTGAGAGCAAGGCCTAAGTTGGCGATGATATATACCCCGAATGTTCCTAACTCGAGTTAATAAACATCATACCATACATATTGTTACTCGTTCTTACCTATGAATGTAATTCGTCTCCCTTGGGTATCTGATAGCGGGCCCCAAAATGACGGTGCAAATGCCTGCGCAACCATATATACGGTTATGGTAAGACTGAGTAATGGCAGACCGACGTTGATATCCTTGCCATATATGTCAACACTAGAGTGTAAGAGAATGATGCATATATTTGGACTTACCCTTGATATTTGGCCGAGAGCAGGGAAGTATATGTTGGCCGAAAGCGATGAAAACATGCCAGCGGTGGCAGCAAGATACATAAGCATCTTCTTCTTCTTGTGTGTGAAGACATGGTATGGTGGTTCCGGGTGTATCTTCTCGTGTATTTTGTTATTTAGGCTTTCGATGTGACTCTTCCCGTTGAATACTGGAGTTGTTGCCCCCGAGTCTAAATCTGAAGGGGATCCATCTGTATGATGGCGTCGAGGTATAAGATTGATGCAACTCCCTTGCGGGCTCTGCATTCTCGAAATGTCGGACAAGGCTTTGATGGTCTGGGCATCCCAGTTAGTACTGAGTGTTGAATAATGTGCTAGATGGTCGCGGCTTGGGTTGGTGCTCCGAATCGACCGATTGGAATAAGGGAATGTTGGACCTGGGGGTGACGAAGGTTCTGCTTTGGGGGGCGATTGAGGTAGGGATTCTTTAGTCTGTGCTACAGGTTCCATCCTAGCGATATCTAGGGGCGAGATTATTCGTAGTATTTTGATAATGAGCGCTGGATATGATAGAGTTACTTCACAAATAGCACTCTAAAAACATCTGGATAAAATTTTCAGACGCAACGCCTCTATATATCACTAACTATGTATTTTCTCACAAAACGATGCCATGCAGAATACAAATGATAAAACCGGATCATCCAAAAGAAAACATGCCGCACAAATGAGACTCATACGACGAACAACGTGAGCCGTTTTGATACGTCTCAGCAGGTTCTGTGTCAAGACTAACGACGAAGACCATATTCTAGGAGCCTCTAAAGACGTTAGAACAGGGTTGATCTACACTTTATGAATCTCTGTGTTGCCACTACTGCGGCAGTTATCGGGAGTTTCATATGTGTCGGTTCTAAGCGATCCGTTCTATTTGTTCCTTCTAGCGTACGATCATAACTTGTGGATCTTCCTTGTCCCGATCTAATCATAACTCCGCCCCTTCCGCACCGTGGCTAAACACTGCAAGCTCATGGGCCAGACGCAACGTTTGTCGGGAACAAGCTCACGGGAGCTAACAAGGGCTGAAGAACCCAACAGGATTGTATTCTTCAATCGACTACACTTCACCTTCCATCCACATCTCTAATTCGCTGACTCGCCATCTAAGATACGGAAAGTTTAAACTAGCGCCAAAGGTACGGGATCATGATGAGAGTCTAGAAGATCATTGCATCTACTGTACTCCAATCAAAGTGAAGGTAGTTGTCGATGCACCGATGGAATTGCCGGCTAGCCAGGGGTAGTAAGATTGTGTTTTAATGGTGGTCGCCTAGCGGGAGGGCCTTTCCGTAACGGTGAAACAATTACAGAATGTTACAGGAGGTATATATAGAGTGCGTTACAGACCGTTACAGAAGGTATATATAGAGCACGTTACACGTAATCATAAATCAGACTGATTATCTGCAGGAGATCCGAGAGCGACTACGTGGGTGCGACAATTATTTAGGGCTTCTTAGAATATCATGGCTGGATTTGCCTAGTATCGTTACAGGTAGTGTAGAGCGTAACTTATACATCATTACGGGGCGAGTACAACGGATGTAGGCCATAAACAGTATGTCTTAAGTCTATCACCAACATCGAAACATCTTCACCTGCCCCCTTCATAGTCTCCACTTCCGTTTTGCCACTTAAAATCGGCATTGGTTGGGGTGTGCAGGTGGCTAAGGCTGGCTTCTTAGAGGCGCCAAATGAAGCATTGACGTTGTTTTTTATCCTCGGTTGAGGTAGGAGAGATATATTGCCACCAGGAGCTCCATAATGGGGTCGAACCACTATTCCGTTGCTCTTCAAGTTTTGGATTTCGGGACAGGAGGGGCCTTTAAGGCGCCAAATGGTCTATTACGCATCTTCGATTCCCGGATGCAAAAATCGTCCCTCTCATAAATACTGTATAAAGAGATCTAACTGTGGTTTCCTCAACTAAAGTCCTGTCTATTGCTAGTTAAAATACTATCTGCATCATTGCTGACGGTTACTGATGTGCACCTAGTCTCTTTGATGTGATCGGGGGAACTATTTATGAAGCCAACCCCCGTTTGTAGAGCACCGGTGGAGATTTATGGCCAACGTAAGAGATATATGCACATGGATAGAATAGGATAATAAATCTTGGAGAGTTGACTCTATTGATCAAGCAATATGGCAATGGAAGTATCTAGTCAGGTGGAGTCTTGGTGGATATATGGGCTGCGGAATCTCTACCCGAGTTGAAGCTTCGAAGGCATTATTCTCACAATAAAAACGGGGTGCTATGCCCCGCAGGTTTTTGGGCACACAGGAGAGAAGGTAGAGACGACGAGCAATGTCCGGATACAACTCCATCCTTCCTTAAACGGAATTATGCGTCGTTGATTCTATTATTCATCCTGTCGCCTCAATCGCCGAAGACTACTACCTAGTTAAACGTCGGAGGAAACAACAACCAACGGATCTGAATTCTGAGAAGCCCTAAATGCAATTTGAGGAGCCCAGCCTTTCAGAGCGGGGAGGAGAGAGTTATGATTCCGGCACGGACCAACAGCATCCGACCCGCCTTTGGGGGCGGCAAGGCTGTTGGGGGCCGCGGGACCATTGGGGGCGGCCGGTCCATCGCCCCGGTTCAACCGCCGAGGACGGTGAAAAGGCGGTCTCGGTAGCATCGAACACTAAAGCGCTAATGTGCGTGCTGTGGTGGTGTATGTTGCATGTAATTGATGATACTGATAGGAACAGTAGAGTGAGGAGTTGATGGTGGATGGATATAGATTTTTACTTGATTCTCGTACTGGTGCTAAAAGGAGAACTATTACTAAAGCAAACCAATGGTGCATAGCCAACAGTAATAGCCCATATATAATAGAGAAAGCATGTATCGCTGTCAGAGAGCAGGTGCTCCATGTTCCGTCGTTGAGCTTGTAATATTCTTATCATATGCGCCGGAGCTTCCATTTACCCCTGGCTGTCTTCTATAGTAGCTGCATAACCCCAGATTAATAAACGGTCTTACAGTTGACAGTTTTATTGTTTCCGAGTCAATGGTTGGTGGGTTCGAGATTGATCCCAGGAATGTTCTTGCACCGTACTGCGATCCTTCATCCTTCTGCATGCAGGTTTTGTATAATTTGAATTGTAATCCAAGGATATAATTTCCTTGATAGGAACTGATTGTTCTTATCCCAAAATTATCTTCCGGGATTTTGTCCCGAGATTTACAGAGACCATCTCTCTTTTCCTTGTACACTTGAGATCTTTCGACTATAAAGAGCACTCGGCCTCTCGCCTTCATATATCTCTACCCATCAAGAACTCACTCCTCGCCAATAATAGATCATTCTTAACACCCTACCAAACGTTTGTCTTCTCCAAATCATTACAACCATGAAGATCTCCATCATCATCGCGGGCCTCCTTACACTCGCAGCTGCCGCTCCTGCACCAGCTCCTGAAATCAACTTCGTCGTTGACGTTGCTGCCCTTGAGGAAGCGGTCGCATCATCTACCCTCGAAACGGTTGATTTTATTTCCATAATCGAGAAGAAAGACACTGGGGCCATGGATATGTCCAAGCGTGCTAGTTGCTCTGCCTTGCAATTTTGCAGCGGAGGCAAATGCAGACAAATCCAATGCACCCCAATAGGAACAACTACTACCTGTATTACATTTACATTTGGAAACTGTTAAAGGGTTCGTAGCTTTCTTTCCATCTTGTTTATACATGTCGCTAATTTAACTCCTTAGACACATAAAAAGCATGCTGTTGTGGATGGCACGGATGCTTGGGAATGAGATGGCTACAGAGAAGCGTTGAGAACAAGGAAAGGGGGGGTATCGATGAGCTTGCAGACTGGAGGTTTAGTTATTTTCGGTGTTGCAATCTTATGAGTCCTAATCTTTTGAGGCTTATATACCTGGTATTCAACATTACCTAATTAAACAGAGAAGAAGTGGTTTCACTTCCTTCTATATTGCCACACTTTCACATTGCCGAAGACAACTGATGTGAATAACTATTTTACAAGCCATTAGCATCTATTCGCATTACCTTCTTTCAAAATGGATGTAAACGATGGCAAGATTTTGGTGGAAAATGTCTCCCTGTTCCATAAACTATGATTTGTGGTTGCTCGACATAACGGCCGAGGACTTTCAAGGGGTAGAATTTATAGTTGATACAAGATACACTTATTAGATGTGCATGGGAGCCATGCGTTAATTCTCATGTGATTTCACTGTTTATCAAAGTAGTAATCTATCGTATTGCAGCCATCGATATGTGCAGGTCTGTGAGTTGACAGCGTCAGCGCCCACTACATATTTCTAGAACCATACGATAAGCAACTTCGGGCATACATGAATAGATGTTCAAATATTAGTTAAGTACTCCGCATGGGGTTTCCCGGATGGTATCTGTATTATCATCTATGCCGCAACCATGTGCTCATCACTCCATTCGCAGAAGTCTCCTATAATATGAGAGTAAAACCATTGCTTGGTGTGGGTGTATACGAATAATCCATGCTGCAAAGGGGCCGTAGCTTACAAATAGAAACCTGGCAAACACAAAGCAGCGCAGAGATATCAGGCTTTAAAACTCCCACTCTTCGTTCCCCTCCCCGACTGCCTCTTCGCTCGGGCTTCCTCGTTCCGTTTCGATGTTTGGGGTCCCAACCTTGGCACGTAGCTCTTCAGTCTCTATACATCCCTCCTTCACGAATGAACCCAAGGCATGGCCTTCAACCCCATCCACTTCTGCTCCTCCACCCAACCCCTCCAGTTTCTCAGTGCCGTAATCGAGAGCAGAAGCACTTTGCATGCTGTGGCTGCTTACTTCCGGCTCTGGCTCGTGGAACTCGCCTTTCTGTCCATCGGCTGACTCGGCTTCCGTTGGGGAATGAAGGCTTTGCTCTTCCGTGACAGCCACCCCGAGCTGATCAGCTAGCTCCAAAGCGACGTTTTGGGAGCTTCTTTCTCCTGTTGATTCGAAAGCATCTGGCAGTGTTTCAGAGCCCTCCGCATCATCCGAATCCGGGTGCTCCTCCACGGACGAGGCCGCTGTTGGGTTGGTCACCCCTTGCCACGCCAAGACCCGCCCATAGCGTGCCTCTGCGATTTCCTGGCGACGGAGAGCTGGAGACTTGCCAACATTCCAGAAATACCAACAGTTGAATCCGCAGGTTTTGGTGGGAGAGTGAAGGCATTCCTGTATGACGGGCATATTGATGGATATGGAAACGGGGTCGACTGAAGCGGCTGTTGTGGTGGTGCGTGCAGTTTGGTCCCTCGAGCTATTAAGTCCCGAGGGTGAGCTTTGTTTGGCCGGAGATAAGGAGCTCCCGGTATTGGAGATGAACTTGGAGTGAGCTGCTCGATGTGTTTCTTGATGTGATGTGTGGTACTCAGATTTGCCAGGTGAAAGAGAACCTTGTAATATTCAGGCAGAAAACTCCCGCGGGTGTGAGTTTATAGCAAGGCTATTGTTCTGCTGCTACTATTACGGTCTCGGGGCCTTTCCAGCTTGTTTTCGTGATAAAAGTTCCATTCCGTACATATAGAAGGTTCCCAACGACGACGAACGTATGGTATTGCAATCTACCCAGGTTAACACTTCCACCTGGAAAGAAACGGGCGAGGTGTCTTGTGTGTAACTTGTCGCCGCCGTCAGTGGTAATTAGCAAGATAAATTGCCGATTTATCTGTTCTTCTTAAGTAGTCCCATTCATCAAATCCAGACGAAATATAATAATGGCGAATTGCTTCCACGAGTGGCTTTCAACCTAGCAGTGTGCGGCGAATCACCCCCCGAATACTATTCGGCGATCCGCCGAATCATTCATATTTTTGAGGTATTCGCCGAATCATGACTCGAATCTGATTCGAGTCATGATTCGAATCTTTGAGGCTGAAATAGAGT